CAAGTGACGTTTTCCATCGAAAAAATTCCCAGCCCCAGCGTGCTTTTGAGAGCTTGTGCGTGGCGTTGGGTGGGAGCAGCCATGTGCATCTCGTGGCTGATGAACGGTCACGGTTCTTCTGGGTGCTGCGACAAAGCGTGATGGGCGCTGCTGGGCGTGCGGGTGGGAAGGGCGCCCTGTGCCCACCACCGGGGTTTTCAGTCTGGTGCAGCTCAGGTCAGGTACTCCCCAATGCCTGGTCAAAGTCCATGGCTTTCTCTTGGCTTGTACCAACAGCGTTCAGGTTGATAAAGGTCTTGGAGTTACTGCTGGCTGTGCTTGTGTGGTGTCTTAGGCTTCCTCGGATGCCTAAAGCCAACGCTCCAGCTTAAGGATGCTGAGAAAGGCTGGTTCATTCTCCAGATGTGATGGCAGGCCTGTGGCTGGGAGCCGTGCTGGATGGCGAGTTTTTGGCAAGGTCTGAGGTCAGGCTGCTCAGCAGAGTTTCTCTGCTGGCCATGAACTGTGCTTTTCCTGGTTCACTTGAGGTTACCCATAAAATAGGCTGGCATGCAGCTCTCCGGCAAGGGATTCCTTGACGAATGCTGGGCTGGCCCGTGCTCAGTACTTCCCTCCTATGTCCAGTTCTTTCTAAGAAATTTGATGCTTCTCTGGAGGCTGGGAGGTGCCTATTCCACCCTGCCAACCTCCAGCCCAAGAAGGCCTCCTGAGCTTTTTAACATACCAGAATAGCGAAATGAGTCTCTCTAATTGGCCATTTAGATGCTAATTTGCTTCTCTTAGGCCTGTGCCAGATCAACCTGCCCCAGAAGTGAGTCAGAAAGAGCCTGCTGTCTTCATGAATTATTCACTTTGCACAACTGCACCTGCCTGGCTGGGGATCAGAAGGAAATAAGGCCAAAGTCTGATAAATAAAGGTACACCTTGGCAGGTGGAAGAGTGCTGGCTTTCCTCCCCGGCATCGTAGGGTGCTGGGGAGCCAGAAGACTGCTTTGCTTGGGCAAAACCTGGTTCTTGTATCAAGTTACCATATATCAAGTAGCCACACTAATAAGTGCCTCTCATTAATACAGGATTGTTGGTGCTGTATGTCAGTTTTCCTGTAGAGCTGATTTTATCTTCGCACTCCTAGGACTGGTGTGGACCTCCAGGGCATGGTATTTTATCAGCTCTTTAACGAGCTCTGTCTTTAAAGCAGCTAGACTTCTTGGCACTGCTGCTAGGATTGGGAAGCACTCTGGTGTATGGGAACCGTCTTTGTGTACCCCCAAACCTCATCCTCACTTTCTGAGCTGACTTTACGTGGTAATGACACCTCTCACTTTCTATGTGCTGTGGCTGGTTTCTGTTTAATTTAGGCTGGGCCAACCACATCCAAATACATGGTGCTGAATGAGGTTTTCCCTATTTTGCTGGCACTGCTACTGCTTAGATTAAGCTTTCATGGTGAGACAGACTGGAGAAAGTCTGTCTGGTTGGGTTCTGAAGTTGTCCCAAAGCTTGCCAAGGTTTTGCGATGTTTATTTGGACATTGTGCTTTCCTTGTCTCTGTTGGCCCAAGCTGCAGAGCTGCAAGTCAAGTCTGATTGTACTGAATTCCTTGTGTCGCCAGGCTCTCCATCTGCTGTTAAGGGCTTGTGCTGCTGTGGGGATTTGTTGCAGTAGGAAATGGCAAAAGGCTGTTTCTCAGCTGTGCCCCTGAGCGCCTGCCCAGCTCTCTCCCTTCCTGAGGGTGGGGAGCAGGAAGGGGATGGGGATCGCTCTGCTGTGCTTGTGCTTGTGCTTCCCGCCTGCTCAGCCCCTGTGAAATGTCGATGCAGGCTCCTTTTTGCTGGAAGGGCTGACAAACTGTTAGTTGTAGGTGTGGAGGGGCAGTTCTAAGTGGTTTGTGTGTGAGGAAAAACTTTTATAAAGCCCAGATTAGGGGTACCACATGTACAGCAGGCCCGGCTGTCCTCTGGCTCTGAGACTTGGCTGTATCTTGAAAGTCAAGTGTGTGTCTTCTGCCACACTTTTACAGCCCCAAGGGTTATTCAAAATAGACGTGTGCTTTGAAGTACAACTGTGGCAGTAGGATCTTTAAAACATGAGGGGAAGACTTGTGTCTGGACTAAATGGCCTTCCCCTGCCTGCTCACACTTGTCTCCCTGCTGCGCGACTAGTGTTGGGGAAGAAAAGGGACTGCCTGGTGGTGGGTGGGAGGCAGAAGCTGGGTTAACCTTATCTATCTCTGCTAGTCATTTATCCTCTGTCATAGCAACAAGAGCAAACACTCACTTAGTTGCTAAGGTTTCCCAGGGATAATGGGGTCTGGTGCATGGAGTAGAGAGTAATTACACTGCCTCTTGGAGGGAGTAGCAGCTAAAAGGATAAACAGGCCAGTGTGGTACCTGGTGCAAACTGGGAGTCCTGAGGGAGGTGACTTCCTCAAAGCAAGTGAGTTAATTACACCAGCACAGCTCAGCTTGGGAATTGGGAACTTGTCTCTGGCCAACTGTGTAATTTTTATTTTTTAAATGAAGTATTTAAAAAAAATAATTGCCTAGTTAATTTCCTATAAAAAACAAATTAATATAAACGCGAACTGCTTAGCTGAAATAACCAGGCAGATGAAAGCCGACTGGAGAGTTCCTTATGGGCCTGTGTAGGACATTTTTGTGTTTGTAGGGCTCTGAGGAATTAATGTTTTATGGGCACCTCTAATCAGCCCAGCTGCAGGAGGGCTTGTGCAGGCTGTGCTTTTGCTGCTGTGAGGAGCTGTTTGCTACCACAGTGGCTACCTCAATGTCAGCAAGACCCTTCGGTTTTAAATTTGATGTAGTCAAGGTATTTGAGGTGGAGGAGTGGGGAAGGGTCTTGATGTAGCAACATGATGCTAAAAGTGGCCATGAGCTGAAAAAGCAAGCTGATAAATTGGGGACAGAAGAATGCTAAGGGTGTTAAATACAGAGCAACAGCCTGGCTCGGGGAGTGCATGATCCAAGAATCTCTGGGGGCTGGGGGGGTGTTCTGGAAAAGTATTGCTGTGTTTTGCTCTGTTCTTATACTATTCTTCAAGCATCTGCTCTTGGAGCTGGTTGGATACCAGGTACTGTGCTCACTGGACCTTTGGCATGGCCTGTAACGACTGCTCTGTTAGTAAGGTTCCACATGTTCCACTAGCCCAGATTGCCCAAAGCCCCATCCACCCTGGCCTTGAACACTTCCATTCCTGGGCAACCTGTTCCAGTGTCTCACCACTCTCACATGGAGGAATTTCTTCCTTACACCTAATCTAAATCAACCCCCTTTCAGTTTAAAACCATTATCCCTTGTCCTCTTGTTACACTCCTGATAAAGCATCCCTCCCCAGCTTTCCTGCTTGTGAGATCCTGCTCACTTTGCTGTCTTGTGGTGACTCTGCAGGGATGTGGGGCCAAATCAGCAGCGTAACCCTGCCGCTGATCCCTTTGCTCAGACCCCACCAGAAGACTTCTCCCTCGCAGGCTGAAGTCCTGTTCTCAGGTGCCTTGTTCTCTGGCTGCGGAGTACAAGTCTCATCATGGAGGCAGCAGAAGCAGCGCTACGTCAGAGCTGCAGGCAGAGATGTGCTCAGTTATGCCTCCTCTGAAATGCTCCTGGCCCCATGCACAGGGCTGGCTCGCCGTGGGCAGCGCTCCTTCCTTGCAGCGCTCCCCTTCTGTGCCAAGGGCAGCCAGGTGGACTCGGATTTAATGAGGTTTTGTTTCACATGACTTCCTCCATCATAGGAAAGGAACAAACAGGTGGAGTGTTTTTAAAGCAGGTCATAGAGTATCGATAAGAGCTCCCTTTTAATTCTTAATTCAGGTAAAAAAGCAGAATCTGGGAAGTTTTCTTTCTGTACTTGTGCTTCCCCTTTATTCTGTATGCATCGTACTTGCAGCTAGGCCAAGAGCTGTGGATTTTTCTTGCTCTCTCACCTCTAGAGACTGGCTCCTTCTGCCCTTTGTTAGCTTGTTGAGAGAAGCAGAGGACCGGGAGGGGATGGCTCAGTGAGGTAGGTGCTAACTGGAGTATTTTTGAGAGAGAATGCAGGAGAGGCTGACTGCAAGAGAGGGATGTTTCACCACAGCCCGTAGAAGTGACTCCCCAGGCTGGCGTGATTTTTGCTATCTTGGTGTTTCTGATTAGGCTGATTCCACCGTACTTCTTGTCCTGTACAGAGATAAGAGGGAGGATGCTTCATGCCTTCTAGATTCTGGTACCATTTCTCTGTGGCGTTGTTCCCATGGCTGTGCAAGATATTCCTCCTTTCCCTCCAGCCCTGCTAGTGCTCCAGTTTCTGCCCCAGTAGACTGTGGCCTGCGTTCCCACGTCATTCTTGTTTCCTTCTCTGAGGTAGTTGTGTCAAACCACACTGGGCTTCTTTCAGAGGCAAAGGTGCAAAGCCACTTGCAATGCCAGTTTACATCAGAGGGAGCAGCAGATACCCAGTGCTGCCGAAAGAAAACGCTCCTGTCAATATTTTAGGGAATAATCTATTTGAAGACTGTTTTGGGATATGATGGATCTCTAGGCTGTGTTTCGTTTTGCTTCTCTCTTTGCAAATGCTGCTCAGGCAATGGTGGAGAACAGAAAGCGTATGCTGAGTAACAAGAGGCAAAAGAGCATGACGTTGCTTGGTTTTTTTCAGTCCTGCTGAGAAAAGTGCACTGTGGTACGAGGCTGGAGAATGTGTTTAGGTCTCTCCTGAGAATGAGCTGATGGGCTCTGTTGTGACTTGCCTTTGGCTCTGTTAGAGCAGGTAAAGCTCTTCAGAGGGGCAGATGTATCCACCACTGCTTTCCACTCCGAAAGCACAGCTGCTGGCAAAGCAAGCTCCTCTGCCCTGACCATGGTACGGGGCTCACCTCCACCTCTAGGTTTTGTGCTAAACATCCTGCAGCTGCCAAGCATCGGTGTGGTTGTGTGCGTTCAGCCTCGCCAGCGGACACTGAGTGTGTGGGCTGTGCAGTCCTTCAGGTGTGCGAGAGTGGGAGGGAAGAGTACATCGTATATCTGAAGAGTAATTTAATATATGCATTTGTGTGGGGGGCTATATGTGCATATAATCCTGTAGCAACACATCACAGACTTGGAAAATCCCAGGTTAGCCATTCTGTTTGGAGTTTCTCTCTGCTTTTAACACTGGCCCGGGGGCGGGAGCCTCCGTATTCTTTTGCTGGTAACGCTTGATTGCTCCCCTGCGTGTGAGCTGCTGTGGGACGTGTGCGGGGACTGCGTTCTCTCCTCGCTTGAGATCGTGAAGAAGATGAAAAGAGCAGGAGGTGTTCTGGGACAAAATGGAAATGCAAGCCCACGGCATGTATGGCACTGAGCAGAGCAGGGAAAGTAGTTGGTAAATTGAAGATGCCAGCGTTCAAGGATTTCTTCGAGGGACCATCCCTTTCAAAAGCAGTCACCTTAACTAATGTAGGAAGGGTTTTAAAAATTTTGTGTGACGCTTCTGTATGCCCTTGCTGTCTCAGCCCTCTTTGCCAGACCTCTGCTGCAGCCTCCCACCTCCTCTACGCCTCGCTTTGCTGTACAGTTGGACTGTGCTGCTGAGCATTATGCTCAATCGTTACGAGTCTTCACCCTTTTTATACATCGGTACCCCTGCACTGAAAGAAATCTGTGTTTCATGTGGAATTCCCCCTCTCCTGCCTATTGTCTTCAGACTCTCTCAAGAAATTGGATGGTCAAAGAGGAGGGAACTGGTCTGTTGTGACTGTTTTGGCTCTCAAGGCTGCGGTGGGGTTTGGCAGGAGATAGCTGTCAGTTCTCCAATACAGGTTAGCGTTTCTGTGCCGGCAGGTGAGTGCGGCGTGTGTGGCACATGTGAGCTCAGCGTAGGGAGGGGGAGATTGCTTTGCACAAGCTGCGTGCCTGGCTGGGTAAGAGGGCCAAGGCCGTGCAGGCTGTGATGCCTCTGAGCCTGGCACAGAGCAGCAAGTTCTGGGTGTGCAGACAGATAGCAAGCGTAGGTGCAGCACGCTGCGCCACGGGCACTGCTGGGGGAAGTGTGCTGTGGATTGAGACTGGAACATGTGTTTTCTTGGGAACTACCGCACAGTTGGCAGGTGATATACCTTGCCTGCTATAGTATCTGATTTGCGTTTGCCAAACAGCATTAAACACGTTATCTCTGCCCAGCAGGTATGGCTTCAAAGCTGGCAAGTGTCTGTTCTGGGGAAGGTAAGTATTAATACCTGGAAATTTATGCGTTAGGGCTCGTGAGACACTTGCTCTGCTGGAGAGCAAATCCAGCTGGAGAAAAGCTTGGAACATCAAGACTAGTTTTGCCTCCACTGAAATCTTTTGGCTGTGCCTGTCCCTTGGTGCTTTCTGTTCATCTGGGCTGCTGGTAGGACTCAGAACTGCTTAGTTGCAGAGTCTTTCTTGGGGCTGCATTTCTCCCACGAGTGCGTGGAAGCTCGCTCGTTGCCTCTGCTGATCGGTTCACTGGGGAATTGTCATTGAACACAAGGAATTAGTGGTGTGACCATGCTGGTTCCAGGAGCCACAGTAGGAGATCTGCTGCAAGAGGTGCTGTCTTAAACATCAGAGAATGCAAACAAGCTGCTATTGTAGGCTGTAGTTATAAATATCAAGCTATTATGGAGGCAGTTTTAATGAACGAAATGACTTGCCACTATTCATGCTGATTGTCGCGTGGGTTTTTGTTTGTTACCCCATTAAGAGGTAAAAAAAAGCAACTGTACCTTCTTTGTGTCCTTTAGAGTGGCTTGCTTTGTCAGTGCTGCAGCGCTGGGGCTCTAGAAGTGATGGGGCAGAGATTATTCTTACAAACAGGGCTTTTTTTCTAGTTTGAAATGAAAAATCAGAACTGACAAAGGGTCTCTAGCTTTTTTTTCAGAGTACCATAAAATCTAGACTTGCAGCCTTGCCTTCAAGGTATTTGAAGGTATTTATTGGCTTATATTTTATGAGGACGGTGGTGTTTTTATCGCTGTCTGTGGGTGAGAGTCTGTCTGCTTCCACCGTGTGCGGTGCCAGCAGATCACCTCTGTTTTGCTTGCCAGAAGAGCGGCCTGTCGGGATGGTTACTAAGGCTGTGCCAAGTGCTGCCCTGAGCTTTCTTGAGGGTGGAGTGGCGGCTGTGCTCAGTGCTGTGTTTGATTCTTACAGGTGTGATCCCTGCCTCTCCTCCCCAGCCTGGTGCCATGGCTGACACGATTTTTGGCAGCGGGACAGGCCAGTGGGTGTGCCCCAACGACCGGCAGCTGGCACTGCGTGCCAAGTGAGTCCTCACCAGCCTCCTCCTCTCCTTCCAGCCTCAGCTCTGGCCTGAATGGTCTCATGGAATCTGTGTGGAGCACTGACCTTGTCCACAGGGGTTTGCCTGTCACACAGACCCCTCTGTAACCCAGAAGTGTGCCTTTGGGGTGCGCTGGGAGCTTGCTAAGCTGGGGCTCGGTGCTTGGCTGCTGCTCGGAGCTGTCAGCCTGAGTGAAGTTTGCAGTGGGGCTGTGTGTGGTGGGAGGCCATCCCACCAGCCCTCCCCTGGGTGAAATCAGGGGCTCGGAAGCAGGCTTGTATCTCTGCAGCACCCTAAATATAATTGATAGCATCCCCCACCTGCCAGCATTCTTTTGTTTTAGGAACTTGTCATTTGATCTCATTTTCCCCTGAAGTTAAATTACTGCATAACCTAGACAAAAGGGATGGAGATGAGTCAAGCACTAGAATTGTTTCTTGGATGCTTTCCTTCTCTGGCAGCCAGCACCATGCCACTGCCACCTCTGCTCTTGTCTGAAACTCTGGGGTCAGCCTGCTGCAGAGTGTTAGAAAATAGGAGGTCACCCAGTGTCTGAGGGGTCTGCCTGACTGTGAACAGTGCACACCACTGCCACTTCTCCAGCCTTCACCTGAAAGCCTCATTATCAGCTGTGTCTGGTAGTGCCCTGCATTCTGCTAACAGCCCTGACTTTATCCAGTGACCTCTAAACCCCTACTGAATGGTAATTAATTGAGCTGTGAAAGCTCCCGCCCGTTCCCAAGTGAGCTAAGGAGATGTGTCAGCTGCTGTGTGTGAGGCACGGAGGGAAGTGACTTGCTGAAGTCCTTGTGCAGGGGCTTAGACCAAGGGAGGAAGCTGCCAAATTTTTATTTCCAAGCGTGCCTGGTGATTTGTGTGTTTGAACTGAGGACCTTAGAAACATGTGGTCTGGAGGGAGGAGGGTGCGGGTAATCCCTGTGTTCAGGAGTCTGTTGTTGGTGTTTGTGGTGTCTGGCATCAGCACCCATCTATGTAAGGGTACTCCCAAGATAGCCAGCCCTGGGTGCACTAGTTTGCCTTATGGGCAGAGTCAAACAGGAGCGAGGACATGAAGTGGTAAAATACAGACTGGAGCAGAAAGGGGAATGAGAGGGCAGACAGAGAGGCAGTGTAGCACTCTGCTGCTGGAGGAGTGACGTGGTGATCTGGTCACTGAGAAAGAGACTCCTGCTTTGGGCGTTAGCCAGGGAACAGACTTTTCTGATGCAAGGCTGATGTGGGCTCTGTGTTCCTGGCAGGTTGGGCCTGTGGGGCAGGGCAGGGATTTTGTGCTTTTCTTTCACAGCTTAATTCTTCCCTCCACCCCCTCCCACAGGCTCCAGACAGGCTGGTCGGTGCACACGTTCCAGACTGAGAAGCAGAGGAAGATGCAGGCTCTGAGCCCGCAGGAACTTGAGGTCATTCTGGAAGTCATCCGCAAGGCAGAGAAATTGGACATCACCGAGCAGCAGCGCATTGGGTACAGTCACATTCATTTGTCCCCTCCCCTCAGAAGGAAAGGTCAGCGCAGACAGAGGAGTGGCTCTCCTGGCTGCTTGCGCTCAGCCTCCATCAGTCAGAGCATCCCTTAGGTCAGTTATTTTCCCCTCCCATGTTGCTTGTTCGGAGGTGATGAACATTGGGAAGGATGTGATGTTTTCTTTCTCTCTCAAGCCTTTCTCGTGCTTTCTTTGAGCTTTTGGGTTTGCTGCGGTTGCAGCCACTGACACAGTCCCTGGTAAATGCAGCCTGTGCTGAGGCAGCTGCCCCAGTGGCTCTGGAAGAGGCTGGGGAAGGTGCTGAGCTGTGCAGCTGCACCCATGGCTAGCGGACAGTATGGCTTAGAAACCGCTGCTGGCAGCACAGCCCCATGGGATTTTGCCTGGAGCAATGAATGAGTTTATGTTCTAGTTGGCTGAGCCCTCTGGAAGGGGTTTGCTAGCTTGAATTACTTAATTTATGGGCATCCTTTTGCTGCTGCAGATTCCCATTTGCTTTCAGTCCTGCTGAGGGTCTGGCCTCAGCAGTGTCTGTGATCATCCCACACTGACTGCCTTCCCATTTCCCAGCAGTGTTTTGTCTTCATGAGACAGGAAACCCCAGTGAGTCCCAGCCCGTGTCCAGCAGGCCCAGCTTCGCTCTGTCCCTGTGCAGTGCACGTTAGTGAGTGCTAACGAGAACTGACAGTGATGTTTGTGTGATGTATGGGAGACCCCAGCAGCCCCAGAAGCGGCCAGCGAGCCCAAGGGACTGAGCGTTCCTGTGCAGTTGTTGGTGTAGCTGCAGAAAGCGTTAGTCTTGCTGTTCCTGTGCTGAAGCATTCTCTGAAATGCCGTCGTTGACTCCTGGGAGTTCTCTTGTGCTGAAGTCAAGGATCATAAATCCACTAATGATGGCTCAGCCTGGCTGTGCTGTCTGACCTCATCACCATAGGTAGTACCTCTTTCAAACAGACCTTACCTTCCTTTCAGTACGGGACTTGGTTGATGGGACATTAGCACTAATGAGAACGGGGTTGCATGGATGGCAGGATTGTGTTTCGTCCCTGAGCCTCATGCACACGCATGGCTGCAGCTGCTCGGTACCTCTGATAAATGGCCTGGCTGTTACTGTCGCCATCGACAAATGGATGCCTGAGGATTGCCAAGCAGTGATCTTATGACAGCAGCCTTGCTCTGCATGCTCTCCACATCCTGCATCCTAATTGCCTATCCTGCCTTTCTTCCCTTTCGTAGTCCTGCTGCTATGGACATTGTGCATACATATGTGCTTCCTGCCTTCCAAGCGGGCTGTCGAATGAAGCAGGGAGCAGTTACTGGCTTTCCTGTACTGCAGCTGGGCTCATTTTGGTCTGATGGCTTCAGTCTGGCCTTCTTGCTTCTAGTGGGATGTGGGCAAGTCATGTGCCAGCAGTGCTGTTTTCAGTGAGTATATGTAGAAATGGAGCAGGACTTGGCAAGTCTAACTCCTCTGCTCTTTTCTGGTGCTGTCTGACTTGCCCTGATCTGAGCCCTTAAGGCTTTTCCTGCTCAAGAGGCAGGAAATCAGTGTGCTGAGACTGCGTGGCCCCAGTGACAGTGAGCTTCTGAAGGGTATAGGATCAGCCCTTCTTGAGAGCCGTCTGCCCTGCACCCCCTAGCTGAGTCAGGCTTCTCGGTGGTATTCACAGTTTTGATTATTCTGGGATTGGTGAGTGTTGGTAGATTGATTTACAGGGGTTTGTATCCCCTGAAGAGAAGAGCAGCTGATAGGAAACATGGAGTGCAGAGACTGAAGGTACATACTGTCCCAGCAAGGGGCCCAGGACTGCACAGAAGCAGCAAAGGTAGGTGGAGCACAGGGCTGCAGGTTTCTGCCATGCCTCAGGACCGTGTGCTTTGACTTCCAAGGTGAGTGCTGTGACCTCTGATCTGCCTCTTCCCCCGCAGGCGCCTGGTGGAGCGGCTGGAGAACATGAGAAAGAACGTGATGGGGAACGGCCTCTCGCAGTGTCTGCTCTGCGGCGAACTGCTCGGGCTGCTGGGCACCACGTCGGTCTTTTGTCAGGATTGCAAAAAGGTGGGTTTGGTCACACAGCTTCCTGCCTGTCCCTGCTAGCAGATCTGTCTAGGAAAGGCCACCAAGCCTCTTGGAAGCTACATTGTTCTGCAGAGTTAGCTTATCTTCACCCCACTTGTCTAGGCCAGTGCTGTCAGACCATCGGGTTTTCTCTTGCACCCTGGTTATCTTATTCCTCAGGATCCTAAAGTGCTTAAACTGCATTTAGTGCTGAGATGGGGTGTGTCATCCCCCCCTGCATCTCCCACTCTGGATTTTCATTGTTGTTATTTTAATTATTTTTTTTTTTAATTTTTACAAAAAGAGACCCTTCTGGTTTGTCTTACAAAAGAGGTGTACACAAACCTGTACTAGAAAAAAACAACTTTTCCCAGAAGAAATGGGAAATAACTATGTATAAATATTCTCTCCGAGTTCTTCAAGCTTCAATTCCCACTGGATTTCCAGAGTGGGAGAAGGGACAGAAATATACAGCCATCAGAGGCAACTCCTAAGAGTCTGTGTGCTTTACTCTTATTTCCTGCAAGGTCTGCCCTTAGACCTTCAAGTAACGCCTCTCTTCAGAGGACTCAAGCCCATCTTCACGTTCCACACCGGTGTAAGGTGTAACCACTGACACACGCATTGGCCCGTGCGTCAGTGACTACCTGTGTTTGTATGTCATTGGCAGGACTGCACAGGTGCTGTTTGAAAGGCAGCATCAATTTTCAGGGAGGCTGCTGTTCTGTCAGCACCCTGGGGGACGACTGTTGCTTCCAGACTCTGCAGCCAAGGGGTTAATCTGTATTGCTGTGGAGATGATGATCTCCAAGGCAACCAACCACCTTATCCTCCCTCTGCTGGGAGGCTGCTTTCCCTGCACTTGAAGCCCATTTTTCCCTGGGGAGGTACCTCTGTAAGTGACTGTCTCAGCGTGTTGCCTGGGGAGAGGTGAGGGTACCTTCGGGGTGCAGGAGTGTGTCTTGACTTGCTGGTGGTAGGGTGGCAGGGAGCAGCCTGTGCTGACTCGTCCCTGGTGGCTACCGGAGCCAAGGAGACACTTGCCAGTGTCACCCGTCCTGTCACTGAGGAGATGTCCCGTGGAGCTCACAGGACACCGATGACTAAAACCTACTCCTTTACCCTACAGTGCTGGCACCTCTGTGGTGAAACAGCCATGTGGGCCATGATGGAGAACCTTTCGTGCTGGCACTGCTGGAGTTCATGAGATGCTGTTTTCATGCAGAGCAGGCTGCCAGGCTGGGCCTGCACTAGTCCACAGTTGGCTACAACCCTGCTGGGTTTAGAGGTCTTGTACGAGAGGAAGGGAGGTGGATGCCCCTTGCAGTCAGAACTGAGGTCCCAGCATCCCTCCATATCTGCTTGCTGGGCAGGGACATGCTGTGAGCTGTGCTGCCTTTGCTGTCGAGTGAGTTTCTCCACTGGATCCAATTTTCAGAAGTATAGAGTCACAAAATGATGTGGGTGGGAAGGGACCTTAAAGATCATCCAGTTCCAAACCCCCTGCCACAGGCAGGGACATTTTCCACTAGCCCAGGTTGTCCAAAGCCCCGTCCACCCTGGCCTTGAACACTTCTGTTTCCTGGACAACCTGTCCCTGTGTCTCACCACCCTCACATGGAGGAATTTCTTCCTTACACCTAATCTAAATCACCCCCCTTTCAGTTTAAAACCATTATCCCTTGTCCTCTTGCTACAGTCCCTGATAAAGAGTCCCTCACCAGATTTCCTGTGGCCAACTTTCAAGTGCTGGAAGTAGCTTGGCTTGGCTGAGGCCGCGGTTATGCAGAAGACTGCTTGTAAGGCAGTGACTGGGAAAGTAAATGCAAATCTTTGAACCCCTGGGTCCTAAGCCAGGGAGAAAGTCGCTTTTTAGGAAGAGGTGGGGAAGGAAGCAGCAGTAAGGTGCTGGGAAGTGAAAGGTCTGGTTTGAATGGGAGCTACAGGGCAGCTCTCCTGGAGAGGAGCACGGGCTCTGTGTGCTGGCAAAGGGCTGGATGGCGGACAGGAGGCAATTAGCTGCTTCCTGCATTTCAAGCATGTGCAATAACAGGATGTGCTGTTTTCCTGCCTTCTTCCCATGGTGGTTCTGTTCTCACCTTGTCCGAAGCCAGCTAGGTCACGTTGCCACAGTGCTTTCTAACCTCCTTCCTGTGAGCCCCGTACACTAATGAGGAGGCAAAAGCTGATTCAGACACTTCCCTGCTCTGTTGTGGGTAGTAACCCCCCCCCAGCTAGGGAGGCTGTGTGAGCCCAAGTCTCTGGGAGGGCCAGGACCAGAAAACCCCAGAGAAGGGCTGTTTGGTTTGGGTCTTTTTTTAATGGTTATTTCTTTTTTGTTTGGAGTCTGTTGGGCAGTTCAGGAGCATTCATATCCAGGTTGATTTAAGGTGAGACCCTATTTTCCAATGTGCATTTTGCAGCTGCTTTCCGCTTGGGTGCACTTTTCAGCTGCGTGCAAGCTCAGGATGATGCTGACTGGGTGCCCTGGGCTTCTCCCCTTCCTGCTTTTTAATGTTGTGAAGTGAAATCAGGGAACAGTCAACCCTTCGGCAGAGCACGTGAAGTGGACTGTTACTTTAAGTTTCTTGCCTCCCATCCAGGGTTATCCATCATTCGTGCAGTGCTGTATGCAATAAGCAATGGCTTGTCAGGGAATTATGGATTTTTAAAGTTCATATTTTTCTTGCTAGCGTGGCTCTGTTACCATCTCATTGCAGACTGATTCAATAACAGGAATTGTTGTAGTGGTGCATCTGAAATGTAGCAAAGAACTTAACCTTCAGCAAGTCCCTTCTGACGAATAGAGGTTCTGGGTTTCTTTTAGCCGCATGAATTTTCTAAGTTCCCCTTTCTGTTTTATGAAGAATGTTTTTAATATTAGTTTTTATTACCTTAGAAATAAATACATGATGGCAAGACAAAGATGTATGCAAATCCAGATGTGTTAGAAATAGCAGCAGTTAGACAAAGCATAATGTGTCATTTACCATGCGGAGGGTATCAGTATAATGTATAAGAGGTGAAGTACTGGTAGAAGAAAGTGCTTTATCTTGTATTTAATGAGGAATGGAGTTGCATTTAATGTCCTTGATTTATTTTTTTTTTTTATGTCGTCTTCTGAGGGGTTGTGAGTGATGCTCAATTTTCCAGCTAGTCTACAGAGAAGGGGAGGAGGAAAGCCCCGGTTTATGTTGGAACTTTCAAAATTTATGGGTAGAAATAAAATCGCTTGGAAACTTCCACTAGAGGGAGTGTTTGAATGTGCTATATGTGTGGGGATTGGGATCTTTGAGGGTATTTAAGATTGAGTTTCTCCCTCAGATTTTGGTCTGAGGGAGGGAGAATGTGGGGTAGGTCAGGTGGCGTCTGCAATCCCCCTCGGCTTGGATGACACCACGTTGAGTATTGGTGCACCAGACCCAATAGGTTGTACCTTGTTTCTCTGGGAGGATGAGGGCAAGGACAGAAACAGAGAGGTGGAGGGGAGCACCAACCTCTGTGGGGCTGCTGGTGCTGCCTCCTGCTTTCTGTGCAGCTTGATTCAGGGACAGACCAAAAGAGTTGGGTGTGTTTATTCATGCAGTGAAGCCATCACCTCAGGAAGTGTTGTTGATGTCACTAAGACCCGCGTCCCTGGACACAGACCTCCTGGCTCAGAGGAGGAGCAGTTTAGAGGGATTTGTAAAACCTTAGCTGGGGAGATTAAATTCACATGTCTCTCTAAGCAAGGTTTTGCTCTCCAGGGCCCTCTTGTGAGTGGCTTTTGCTCTGTGAGGATCAAAGAATTCATCCAATTTCTCATTCAAGCTGTAAGCCAAGCCTGATACACATCAGCTTCATTATATAATATTAGGTGATTCAGGTTGTAAATGGCTTGTAATGCCAGCGGAGACATGAAAGTTCCCTTGTGCAGCAATAGAGGCTGTGCGGTGCTATCAAGCATTCTGCTCAGGAAATGTGCACTTAGGCATGGTTGTACCCACTTCCTAAGCAGCCACAAATCAATAGCTGCCAAGCACATGCTGAAACGGAGGGGAAACCGTGGGGTTTAAGACTACGTATGCGAGGGAAGGGAGGAGAGGATTTCCAGTCTTGCACAAACTTGCTCTTGTTTTATACTTGCTGCTTTCCGTGCCACAGCGATTGAGTTTTATGATTTAGAAGAACTAAAAAAAAAAAAGCTCTGGAAACACACCTGTTGGTCGTGGGGTTTGATTTGCCCTGTCCAGTTCTCTTCTTGTCCTGCAGTCAAGGGCTGTGCTGTAGATTTGCCTTTGTCTCAAGTCCATATAGACGTCAAGCAGCTTCCTGCGATCAGTGGTTCTCCATGATAAATAAGAAAATTGTGCCATGTTTAGGGTTTTTTAAGGAAAGCAAAACAGAACTATTCTGACGGATGCTTCTTGACCTTCTCTTTCCCAAGGGCTATATGTTGTGGGGAGTTGCTAACGCCACTTTTTGTTTTGTTCCCCCCGCTCCTTGTTTCAGAAAGTTTGCACCAAGTGTGGAATAGAAACCTGTGGAGCCCAGAAACGTCCTCTTTGGTTGTGCAAGATCTGCAGTGAACAGAGAGAGGTAAAACACAGCTGTGGAGAGATGGGGCTCAGCAGCATGCGCCTACCTGCCCCAAGTCTGTGCTGAGTGTGCGTGGGCTCTTCCCTGTGGCTGGGCACTTGGAGGGGAGCTTGGGATGGGCTTTGGGAGGCTTGGCTGGAGGTCAGGCAGGCTCAGTGAATACACACAGTGGAGACAGCTTTGGTTTGTGAGGGGGTGGAGGGTAAAAAACACACCAGGCCCTGCAGCCTGTATGGCTTTGTGGAATTTTTCTAGTTATGGTAATAAAGAGACTATTGCGTTCTGCTGCCATGGTCTTTTTCTCCTAGCTCAGTGGCAAATAAACTTGGCTAACACTGGTTCTGTAATACAGCTGGAGAGATCTAGAGCATAGCTGCAATATTTGTCCCTCTAAAAATAACTAGGATTGCAGCTTTTAAGTCTGTTTTCCTCCCTGCCTGCAAAATCCTGTAACTTGCCAGTGTGTGAGACTTCTAATGCAGGTCTCTAAATTTTTATATCCTTCATCCTTAACTTTACACTGCAAGAAGTAATGGCCTGCCTCAATTCTTGTCTGCCAGCCAGCACCGCCAACATCAGGGCTCTCTGCTCTACAGTGAAGTGAAGTCAGTGAATTTGTTCTGTGATTACAGAAGGATTTTCACTTGTTCCCATCAGTTTATTTTGGGCTTTTGCTTGTGGTCCTTGGACATCAATTCAGTGCAGCTATTTCTGACCACTGCAACCAACTGTGAAACCTGGGTGCTCTGCTAAATCGATTTTTTGAAGTGTAATGAGAGCATTTGTGCAGGTGTTTGAGATGCTGAAGTTTTTTTATATTAGTTGTGGAAACTCAGTGTTGCTTCGGTTTTACATAGGAGGGGATTGCTTGTGTGGGAGCACTTGCAAAGTTCATCTTCAGATAAGATGAGGGGGTACATGGACACTGCCACCCTTTACCTTTTGAGCAGCAGTGTGGGGGTGAGCAGGGCAGGCACAGAGCGTTCCAGCTCTTTGGATGTTGCTGATCATTTGATACACTGAAGCATCCAGATGTTTTGAATTCCAAATGTTGGTCCCAAAAGGGAGAGTGAGGCAGGTCAAGATATTTTCTATGTCTGCGGGGAGATGGGTATGGGACTAAAATTGACTTTATTTCTTTTATTCTGTTCTTTCTATATTTTTCTCTCATCCCACACTGTATAATTTTTCTTATTTCTTATAAAAACAATGAGGAGCTGTGGTCACTGGACAGAATAATATTAACCTGTCCAGTAAGTGTTACATGTGGCCAGTGTACGAGGGTACAGTAACCTTCAGAGCTCACTGTCTCCGTGAAACCTGAGATACGGCCAAAGTGCTTCCCTAATGAAAATGGATGGAACTTTCCCCTCTTAGACTAACTAAAAAATAGCCTCATCTTACCTCCCAGCTCTAAGCTTCATCTTTAATTTTTTTTTTATTCTCATAAAGGTCGATTCAGGTCTGTCTCCTTCCTTGTTTGCAGTAGTGCTGGTGCTCTGGCCAGGAGAAGGTTGGAAGAGTCACAGTGTGGACACGCAGTCAGGCATCAAGTCATACATTCCCTCTGTCTTCCCACAAGCTCTGCTTTTTATTTTGGGGGAAGGCAGGGAAGCACTGAGAATTAGAAGCCTTGAGTCATGTCAGCCAGGGCAAGGAAGTTGAGGCAATATCGGAATAAATGCCTGGAAAGTGGCTTTGATAGGTCTTCCCTAAGAGACTGTGTGAGGAAGAGTCTCTTGGGCCTCATGCTGATGGCTGGTACTGGTGCAGTTCCTGAAGTGGGTTCAGGTGTCATGGTATTATAAGACATGCACTAAATTACCAGGGGTTTTTTTATGGTCTCGTGTTCATGACCAGTTCCTTGTTGTCTTCTGTTTCTGTGGTCTGGATCTGTCTTGTATTGCCATCTGCTCTGGACCAAACCCATTTGGCCATGCTCTTTCTTGAAGGTTATATGTGCTATCAGTGAGTGCAGATGGATGTTTGGGATCAGATATTCTCGTTTCTAACCTCTGAACCCCCTGCATGGTGAGTAAGTATCAGCCCCATTTTATTTCCTGGGATCCAGGCTGGGAGCTTCAGGAATGCACTGAAGCACTTTGGGTTGTGTGATGCTGTAGCAAACCAGTATCACCCTTCTTCTCTCCCCTTCTGAATGCACAGCGTGGCTGAGCAAGGTTCAACCCCTGCCAGCGAAACACATGCTTGAAGTAGGCTTATCCCAGGCCACTGAGCTCTGGCAGCACCTCCCAACTTGTCAGGCCCCTAAACCTGGCCAGCTCTAGTGGGCGAGTGTCTGATGCTGGTCCAGAGTGCCCCCCCAGCAGGAGTGATGAGGTGGTGTGTTTCCAAGCGAGGTGATTCCCTCCACATCAGCACTTTGATCGCCATCTAGTTTTCTGAACCACTGCTCAAGCTATTCGGGCATGATATTTGTGAAGCTCTGAACTCTGTCACTGAGAGACTGTCAGGCACTGAAGTGAGAAAGGGAGGTCGTTTGGAAACCTGGATGGACTAAGTGGTGTTGGCTAGGGTTAAGAAGTGTCACCGGGCTGGGACAAGAGGCTAGGACTAAAATTGTCCCCTTTAGCCTCTGCCATGCACTGAGTGAGCACAGGAGTCTTGTGGCCCAGCAGGATCTCAAGCCAGTATGGCCGGTTGGACATTCACACACACTAGCTAACGGCTACAGGGTGTGGCATTGATCATACATGCTAAAGCTTTCATCTCATCTTCCTTGTTATCATTTATCCCTGTAGGCTTGATTTAAGCTAGCATAAGTTTAGTGACACGTGGTAGTCATCTCCCCCTTTTGCTGTGTGGACAGAATCTGTGCTGGCTTCAGTTATGATTAAATTGTCCATAAGCCTGGGTCAAAATGAAGACCAAAGTAACAAGCTATTTGCTTACATCAGTCTTTCAGCTGGAGTTGAATGCTTGATGCCCATAGAGCCCTTTGGGAATCCCAGCCTCAGCCATTCAAAAGTGTTCTTTGCTGCTTTCTGTTTCCTTGAAAACCTCCACTGGGAAGGCTGTGCTGCATAGCAATGAGGAACAAGTTGCTCTGACACTGCCTTATTTCTGGAGAGTGGAGGTGATTAATGGATTCTGCCTGCGTCCCAATCATCCAGAAGCAAACCGGTGCGTTTGGCAGCACTCGAGCTGCCGAGTGTGATGTGTGCATGTGGGGTGAGGGTCTCCGAGCTGCCAGAGAGGCACCGGGAGGAACGTTCTGTGTTCTGGCATGGCAGGGATTTGACAGCCTGCGTGTTCCTGCTGGCAAAGGGAACATCCCCAAGGAGCAACAGATACTCCTGCATCTGAAGTGCATCTCTTCCTCCTGAAATAAGATAGACCTCATCTGCTTTAGGCCAGAACTGGCCTCTAGGAGATACCACTTGTTCCAGCTGTTTGCAGAAGTGTCTATTGAAAATCCCTTTTTCTTATTCCAGGATCCTGTGGGTGTTTTCCTTTGCAGTGTCTTCCGAGGGCAGTGGAATTAAAGCAGGAGTGGATCGTGTTTTATCGTTCCTGCAAGCAGGGGTAGAGGCAAGTTCAGTCAAGCTCACATTCACTTTGGAGGGCAAGAATTTCCCTCCCTTCTTCTCTCCTCCATGTGCTGCATTGCCTTTCTTGGCTTTGCATCTTGCATTGCCTTTCTGGAGACTGAGTGTGCAGGGCTGATGCTCCTTGGGGCAGTCCTGTTTCTGCGTGAGTATGAACTCCTGTGGCATGATCAGGGACGCTGATCCCCGATTGCACGGGTCTGCAGTGAGCCTGTTCGCTGACTTGGCAGCGAAGAGCAGTGACGCAACCACGGGCATGAGAGTGCAGGGCAGAAAGGGAGCAAGTCCTCCAGCAAAATGGGCTTATTGCAGTGACTGTCAGAGGAGCAAAACTGCCTGGGAGGAGCTGTGATGGGCCTGTGTACAGCTGGAATGATTCTCTGCTGCCAGGCCTCTGGCAGAGCACGTGAGCCTGATGAGAGCTGGGGCAGCAATGCCCATGTTAAATTAGTCACATGTGGCTGAAGTCAGCCTGTCACCTCCTGGCCTGAAGGGCAGATGGGACCTGGAGTGTTTTGTCAAATCCCTGCCCAGCCGTTTACCTCTCTGCACAGCCTTGTTTTGACTGTTATCACCAGGTTCTGCAAAGCACCTTCCTGAACTACCACTTTTTTTTTTTTTTTTTTTATCATCGTAATTAAAATCCTCTTGGAAGCGTTCACGCACATTTACATTTGAATTGACACATCCAAAATTGTAGTGATAATGAAAACAGTTTAAGTAGGGTGGGGGGAGATAGCTTTTTTTAAACCCCATTGAATATGAAAGAGAGTGTCAGCTATCAGGGACCTGTTAAAGTTTTAATTTGCCCCCTCTGCTGCACTTTCCCTTTAATTTCTTCTCCTTCACTAAACGGCATTTTCATGGCTGGATGCATTTCTTGGTTTATCACAATAAACCATACAGAGGAAGAAGATTACTGTGCTGGAGGAACAGAGTTGTCTCCTCCTCTTTTGCCCCCAGGGCTTCCCTTTTCACATATACACTCATACGATTTTGAACATTAAAACCCCACATAGCCCAGGGTTATTCCTGCTGGCATGCTGATTTCTTGGTGAGATACCATACTGATGGAGGGGAGTGTTTATTTTGGGTGACTCTGGATTGAATCAAAGTGATGTGCACCTGTTTGCAATTCAGAGAACTCATCAATAGCCCGCCATATTATTTTTGGGGGAGTGGTAGCAAGTGATTAGACTCAAAATAGTGTCCTCTAGAAGAGAGCCACAGGCAAAAAAAGAGGCCTGATTGAGAGGGGAATGATAAATTGCTGAAGGCTGGCAGCCATCGCAGCTTGAGAAACGTTGGGGTCAGAGGTGGGATAGATTCTGCTATTCCGGAAACAAAGCTCCGAATAGCAATTTTACTGCCTTTTAATTTTCTTCATCCTCAAGTACTGAATGTGGGAGTTGACAACAGATTGCTGTAAATAATGTAATTGGAAATCTCTGTGTTATGGAAAAGCAGATGAATGCAAATAACGAAGCTGAAGAGCGCTTGCTCTTTCTCCCTGCCAGTGGTTTGCAGCGTGCCAGAGCCGTGGTGGAGAGCTGGGACAAAGTGAGTGTGTGGGCATGTGCTGCGTGAGGGCAATGGCAATGACGTCCTCCCAGGGTGGTTGCGTTTGCAGGTGCCTTTCTCTTCGCTCAGCATTGTAGCCCACGAGAACCTGCTCCCCTGCCTTTTGGCTGCTGGGGGATTGAGCCGGTAACACTGGTGTCAGCATGGGAAGCCGGAGGTAACTGTTCCCCTCTCGCACAGCCCGGCCCAGGCTGCTGTGAAGGAAAGGGGCTGCAGAATGAGAACAGCTACTGCGTGGTGAGAAATAGGTGGTAGAGCAAAGTGTGGCTTTGCAGCAAAGGTCCTTCCTAAGCATCTCTGTTTAGGGGACGTGTGGCTTGGTGAGCAAACTCTGGGGGGGCTGCAAGCGTTATGATTGCTTCAGCTGTGATCCATCTCTTCATCGGCAAGTCCTAATGTTTTCTCCGTTTAGGAGTTGTTTTAGCATTTGTGTATTCATAGAAGGAGAAAGAGGAGGGAGAAGTTTGAGCAGTAACATGCATTTCACCAGGGTTTCTCCATTGGGTCCCATTTACAGGCTGCACTTGAACGTGCTAGATAAAAATACACATCTGCTTCTGACTGTCTCATCCTGTAGCTATAATGACTGCTTGATGCAACTTTAATGGGAATATTGTCAGGGTTATAAAAGGCATTGAGCTCTCTGGACTTGTCATGGCCATGGCTGTTAATTTGGTTTGAAGTAATAAAAATGGAGTCTGTTGCTAAAGTAGCTCTTCTCCCCTGTGTTCTCCCCCACTTTGCTTTAGGGTAGTTTGGGTGTCAGGGGAGGCAGAAGGACAGGAGCCTGAAGGAAGTCAGTATTTAGCATGAGTACAGTGGGCTGGGGACAGCTGCAGCTGGTGAACCGTGGTGTGGCAGCTCTGTCCTGAGCCACATGCTGGGCCACCCCATCCTGATCTGGTGTAGTGCAGATACAGATCTTTACTCTTCTCTGTCAAGCACTCAGAGCGAGGGATGATCAATGTTACTTAAAATTGGGTGTTGCAATAAACTGGAAAGGTCTGGCTGTCCCTCTTGGTGATGAAACTCCAGTTTAGGCTGCCATGGGGGCCCGATTTCACCTTACGTGCCAAAAGGACTGGTGGGACCAAAACTCCTCCTTGGAAAGAGCAAACTCCTACTAATAAAGAGTAGTTTTATTCTTGAAGTCCTGTTATAGATTTATTAATTTAAAATCAAGCAAGAACTTTGCTGTCAGGCCACTCTTGCGATCAATGAAACTACCATCAATAGCAGTCAGCAACATCGATTTGTTTTGATGCATGGATGCGAAAACTGACCTGTGTGCACATGTGCAGAACAGAACGTGAGCTGCGGTCGTTTCAGATGGGGCGTGCTGCTAACCTGGGGGGAGCAGAGGTACTAAATTATTATAGGGGAGAACATCTTGCTGCAGCTATTTTAGAGCTGATCTCAAATCAATTTCGGTTGCTGCTGTAATGAGACCAAACTCTATTAGAAGCACCAATTCAAAGTGAATATGTATGCATAGACTCAGTTTTATACTGGTATTACTACATCAGAGCTGGATGTATTAAATCGTTAACACTTTCTATAACTGGACTGGCTTTGGGGTAGCGAGAAACCTGGGGGTGACCAGCCTTTTCTTACAGCAATCCTCGCTGTGTCTGATTGGTTTTATGGTGTGCCTAAATTGTAGTTCGCCTGAAGATAATAGGTCTCTTCAGTGCTTCAAATTAAATTACAGATGTTGCAAGGTCTGTTCAGAGAATGACTGTAAGAAAGGGTTGCTTCGTCCCCGGCAGTTTGTGCAGGGAAGCTACGTGTGGCCCAGCTACCCAGTGTGCAGAAGGGGCTGACCTGCCCTCCCCAAGCCATGGTGCTGCTCAGGGCGCGACCCCCTGGCCTGCCCACCGTGTCCCACCTGTGCTGCTGCTCCCAAGGCCTCCTGCTTTCCTGAGACAAAGGGAGACCAGGGCTTGCCCAGCCTGCAGCCCCTCCATTGCGTGTGATTACCTGAGTTACAGTGGGTTAAGCTCCAGGTAGAGATGTCTGTCCCAGACTGAAAAAATACCTTGGGTTTCCCGATTCTTGGTTTTGCAGGGATAGCAGAGCACGTTCTTCCAGGGTCTGCGCTGCGTGTGCTGTTGTACAAGCTGTACCAAATGCTGCAGAGTCCCAGCATGCTAGCAGAGGGGACAGAACGTGCCCTGTCAGCTTGTGTCTCGGCTGGCTGGGTCACTATTTTTGCTGTTTGCCTGCTGGTGAAAGAGCTGGGAAAGTGTCCTGCCTGCCAAGGGCCCCTCTGTAGGAGAACTTGCAGTCATTTCTCATTTGGAGAACTGGCTTCCCAGCTTTTCACGTGGATGAGACTCACCATCCTGCTGGTCTGTTACCCAGCAGGAAAACATTGGTGTAACTGCAGGGTGCTCTCACCTCCTGGTTTCTAGATCCTTCTGTGGTGCACATGAGCGTCTGTCTTGCACTCCTGCAGTAGCTGACGTGTGTGATGGGTCACAGCGATGCTGTGCTTTCTTCTGCTGGGTGCTCTTCTTTCAAAAAGCAAACTACCAGGTTCCTCTCTGAAGTCAGATCGTCTTCACTTGGCTTTCAAGACCCCGAACACAGATTTTAGCTCTCTGTGTTGATGGCCCTGGACTGGGAACCAGACAACCTGCTGAGCAATCTCCTCCCATCAGTGAAATGGTGACAGTGATGTCCTGCTTTTTGTGCCTGCATAAGAACTTCTCATGAGTGGCAGGTGTTGTCACTGTCCTCTGCTTTGATTAAGCCCTAAATGCAAATTGCAAATGTGTTGCTGAAATTAGGGATATCTGCATTTGCACCTGTTGTCATTATGGTGATACTATATGCAAAATGCTTTGGGAACTTGGAGTAGAAACACTGATTATCTCCTTCACTCTGAACGGAACTGCAAGTTTTCTGTGCCCCCCCACCCCCCACCCCCCACATGAAACAGAAAATTATATTCTTACTATATTAACTTATTTTTGCCCTGGCTGTCTTATTAGCTCATTAGTAGACTGCTGGAAGGCACAAAAGAATTGGGTTTTTAGAGGCTATTTCTCCTTCTCTGAGCTGCCATCCTTTTCCTTTCTTCTGGCTCACAACAGGCTTTATATTAAATATGCTTAATAAAGCTCCTTCATTATAAGCTGCATTAAAACTGAATTGTAGAGCAGAGAGTGTTCTTACAGGAGATATTACAGTTTAGCGCTCGCAGTCTGTTTCCTGCTGCAGATTTGGGTTAGTTGAGTGTGGTTCTTCCCGTTCTGGGGTTTTCAGGCACACTTGTTAAATGATCTGGCTTAGCCTGAATTGCTCTGTGGAATGAACATCGAGGTTGTGCCGTTTGGTACAGCACGGGGCAGCGTTTCTGCTGTCCTGGCATTGCCGCCCGCCCCCTCAGCTTCTCTCTCAGAAGTGAAGTGACCCCTGGCCCAGGAGGAGACTTGCTGCCCCTCCAGCCGGGGCAAGACTTGTTTTACTCTAAGCAGAGCATGTGCCTGGGGCTGTTGCCACCCATGGCACATTCCTGCTCTCTCCAGGAAGCTTTTTCTTTCTGTGGATTCCCAATGGGAAAGCAACAGATGCAGAAGCTGAACTGCCTGCTGCTTAGTGCAGGCCGGAGAAATTCACCCCAGTATCCTTGTAGTAAGCCTGGGAACACGTGTTTGACTCAAGCACAGCATCAGAGAAACATTTAGTCCTGACCTAGAGAATGTAAGAAGCTCTGTGGTTTGCACGATCACCCTCTGTTTCTCCTCAAATCTGTGCCTGTTGCTCATTCAAATTTGTGATTTTTTTATTTTTTTTTTTTTCAAGTGGGGAAAGAAGGACCGAGGTAAAGTGAGTCTGACAAGGCATGGGGAGGAATTTGGGATGCTGTGGTAGCTGCAGAGTGCAGGGAACTGCTGGTCTCTGGGCTGGAGGGCTTGCCCCTGTTGTGTTTGAGTGACATCAAGGTAGCTCAGAGGCGGGAGCTGGGCTGAGCTTGGTGGGGAGCCTGTTTAGTGCTGGCTGTGCTCTCATCCTATAAAAACCCAGGCTTAAGGTGGTGTGTGTCTGTCTCTAACAGGTCTGGAAGAGGTCTGGTGCGTGGTTCTACAAAGGGCTGCCCAAGTACATCACACCTTTGAAGAGCAGCAGCAAACCCAGCGAGCTGCACTCGCAGCCTTGGCAAAGCGAGCCAGCCGTGCCAGAGGCAGAGAGCGTTGGGACTAGCCGATCCTTCACCTGGGCCAGGGGAAAAGGTTGGTGGTCTGCTGTACGCTCAGGAAGCAGGTGGGGACAAGGACCTGGCTCCTACTGCTGATAGCAGGATTCAGCTAACCGGGGAGGCTCTCTGTTAGAGGTGAGGGATGGCTGTGGGGATGAATTCTGGTGCAGGCCACCGGAGACAAGACCACAGACAATCAATAGGATTGGAAGTCAAGCCCAGACTTTATTAGCAAGTCCTTATATATTCTTGTGCATTCTAAAAATAGCAGCAAGCCCTTATATACTTGTTGCTACCTTGTGTTACTCTTGTGCGTGCTTATTTCAAAAAACACCTCCCTTGGTACTTGCCACAAGCAGTGCTACCTGCACACAACCAGTAGATAAGTTCCTGCTTTTGTAATTCCAAAGAGTCCTTTCTTTATCAGTTTCTTCCTTAACAAGCACATTCTTTTCTTCTGGCCTTCTTGCTTTTAGACGTCGTTAATCTTCTGACCCGAATGCTGATTGTACTTTTGCATTGTCAGTGTGTGCGGAAAGTTCAGCAACCCGGCATACGCACCCACAGATGGCCCACAAGATGTGGTGTGTTTCCTATGTGGGCAGTGTTGGGTTTTTTATGCTATGGTACGTTTTTCAGGTTTCACTGTTACTTATGTGCACATTGGTGGCCCAAACTAGCTACAGTCCTCCTGAACTCCCTGTCCTTCAGCCCCCCCTTGCTTTCCTCTCTGTTCCTTGCAGCCACTGGTGTTTTGCTGGGGCTGCCAAGGGAGGGATGAGCTGTGAAAGCAGACACCTGTCTGCAGTCACAGCCCAAGGGGCTCCTCCCGCTGCACTACGTAGGATGGTGCCGCTGATGAACGTTGTTGTGCAGCCAAGGCTGACAAAAGGCTGGTCTTACTCCCTCCATGGGGCTGCTTGCTCCTGCTGCTCTGCAGAGCCCCACTGAGCAGATGCCTCAGGTCACTTGGAGCTGGGTCAGAAATGACACCACCAGCATCAACCTGGGGTCTTCCTGGGGCCTGGAGCAAGTGGGCAGAGATCCTGTTCTCCAGTCAGCGAGCAGGAGCAAGATGTGTCCTTTTGTGCCTCAGCCCCTGAGCAGCTGTGGCGTCACCCTCTGTTGTGTGTAATATCAGCTTCTTCTGGGTGTTATGTCACCTTGTTATGTCGCCCTGTTCTGGGTGTGACATCACCCTGTTCTTTGAGGTAGACCTTGATTGAAGTAGAGCATTGTATCGCATGTGGCATCTTGGGTTGCTGCTGCATCAGCTCCCATTTACAGCACTGCCTTGTAGGGTTTCCCCCCCCCCTCCCCTTCCATCTGCCCACCCCATTGTTGCTCGTGTGCTCACTTCAGTGCGCCCAGAGCCAGCTGGGAGGAAACAGCAGCTTGGCACTGAGGAGCTGAGCGCTCGGGGTCATTAGCACAGCGACGGATGGATGCTGCAGAATTAAAGCTGCTGCCAGTCTGCTTTGATTTCTCTTCATTTCTTTTTGATGTGGATTAGAAGAACTGTTCGGTCTCTCTCTCCTTCTGCCTTTTGCTATTAGATCAATTGGAGAAGACCTCTTCAGTGTACCAGCAGCATACACTCTTCCACATCAAGATAAATCTTATCAGCAGTGCAGGGGGAAATAACCTTTTCATAAAGAGGACTCAGGAGTCTGGTTTACAAACTCTTCAGGCCCCATCTAGGAAAGCACTCCCAGACCTACTGTAACTTTTCCAATTAAAGACAAATTAGATCAAAATAGATGGTTGTGCTTCCCTCCAGGAGATGCTTGGAAGGAGTTGTCTTAGCAAATGAACCGATTGATGAGGTATTTTCTGTTCACATGATACAGAAAGCATTATGAGTCAAAGGTGTTAGGCTCAGACCTGGCCCGCTTTTTAGTTCAGCTTTTTAGTTGAGTTTTGTTGAGTTGAGTTGAGTCAAGTTCCCCCTAAATACTGGCAAGAGCAGCAAAGGAGCAGGTGGAGGACAGCAAAGTGGCCTTTGGTAAGCTTTGATGTGGGTGGTGAGCTGCCTTTCTCCATGTGCTCTGATTTTTGGCTGGCTGCTGTTTTACGGGTTGGATAATACTAATTTATGATTTTATTTTCTGGTGCTTTCTTTATTTATTGCCCTTCTTTGATAGGCCACCTGTCCTCTGGACAGCTTTCAATGGGCACTGTGGGCTGTAATTCATTCCTGAAACTGGGAACTTGTACATCTCACCCCTCCGTTTAACTCTTTTTTTTCACCTGTCAGTGCTGGCACTTCTGCTGCTTGTCATCTGAAACCTCTGAATGTGCAGGGCAGTGCCTTCCCCTGTGGAGGTGGTGTAGCTGTGATATTGCTGGTATGAATCTGCAGCTGGACTGAGCTTTACAAAGCAGTGGCTGACAAGACAGCCTGCCTTACCTCTTCCTGGCCGATGACATTTGTCAGCTCACACCTCGTACGCCCTCATTTGAACACATCCTTTCGGCAGGGAGTAAAGCCCTGTTGCTCGTTTGGCAGGATGTTCTCAGGAATGAGCTCTGGCATTTAACGTGCCTGACTCTGACAGGCTGCTTTCCCTGGGGTTTCCCTTATCTTGGCCAGCCAACTCTAACCCCACCGCTCCGCTCCCAAGGTGCTGAAGGAGCTGTCTCTCAGCTATTAATGGGATTCAGGTCAGGTGGGACCAGCGCAGGCACAGCCATGTCCTGGCACAGCCCCCGGAGAGCCTGGAAGAGAGGAGCCATGGTTGTCCTTTCAACATCCTCTGTGCCAGGACCTGCCTTTCTGCAGGGATGGGACGAACTCAAATGTCCCTTTTTCCTCCTCAGAAGGAAGGGAATCAGTGCCAGGCCCTGGGTACTGGCTGCTCCTGTTGCAGGAGAGTGGGATGGCAGTTGGGACCGAGGGACCGCAGGAACATGCTTCTTGGAAGAAAAGCCAAACCCACCAGGAAGAAGTTTTATTTTTACACACCCATTATTTCTCTTGCTCTCGCTGACACTGGGATTTGCTGTTGCCTTTAGTTTTTCTGTAATAAACAAGCAGTTGCCATGGGAACCCTGCTATTAGTTAAGGCACAAATGTATTGTCGTGAGGAGAATAGCAGTAATATTTCTTGTGTTGGGGAACAGCTCTGCTCCATGTGGTGGAATGTGGGTGGGTTCCTGCACTGGGTCAGGCAGGACGGGGCCATCAGGGGGTGGGGAGCAATAAGCAGCAGGGCTTTCCTTCTTTCGAACTCTGAGTTCTGCAGAAAAAAAAATGTAAAGCATCTGGGTGGAAAAAAGAAGAGTGATCCCTGAGCTATTACACTGTTTGGCGTGAGGGCTGCCTGCTGCTCTGCTCGGTCTCTGGTGGTTTCTCCTGTTGCAGTGTGCTCTAGTCCTGTTGCCAAGCAATGCGACGTGCTGGGCTCAGCGCTGTCGGAGGCACAGGAGCAGCGGCCGGGCAGGGGGATGCAGAGGGTTCGTCCGGTTTCTGCGTGCTGGAGGCCAAATCCCGGAGTGATGGAGCAGAGAGGAACATGCTGGGGCAGGTCACTGAGGGGGTCATCCAACTTCTTTACAAGTCAGGGCAGTGCCAATGCTGCACGTGTGCCGCTTCTGAAAGGGAGAGCGGTTGGGGCTAGTTTCCTCCTCCTGCTTGGAGATGTCCCTGCAACTGTGGGCAATGCTGGGTGAGATCTAGCATAGGAGCTGCACTTAGTGAGACACTTGGGTTGTAATAAAACTCTTCATCTCCCACCCACAGTGACCAGGAGCTGTTGGCCTCCCCGCTCCCCGGAGGTGGTCTTTGCAGAGGCTAATGACACGGTGCTGCAGGGGAGGTGTGTGCTCAGCCTGCTCATCCAGCACGCCTTGGCTGCGCTGGGTGCGTGCAGATGTCCAGAGCTGTTGCTGCAGGGTGCCCTTGCGTGCCCATGTGCTTTTTCTGTATTTTTGGCAACTGCAAGAAGTGCCAGGCTTTGTGTGTGCAGGGATTGAGCTCTGCCCTGCGATGGGCAGCAGAAACGTGGCTGGCACTTCCCACTGCAGGTGTGCCCGTGCCAAATGCACGTGTTTAATATTAGAGCTCAACTCCAGCCAAGTGCTCCTTTCCCCTTGGCCTCTGCAGAGCCTCCCCACATCCTCTGCTGCTGGGTTAGGTGCATCCCGGCAGCCCCTCATCATTCACTGTGGCGCTCTCTGCCACGGGGCTCTGGTACCTCTGGTTTGGAGGTTGAACTGTGTGGTGAAGGAATCGTGGGTTCTGGCAGCAGCTGTGAAGACTCAGGCTCTCCAGGAGTGACCCATTCCCTGTGGGAATACTGCTTTTCTTGCAAGTTTTATCTCGGCATATTTTTTTTTATGAGCTTTTTTTCAGTCAGCTGGAGATGGAGAGGGATAAATCTGTTACGTTCTCTGAAAGTACAGCTGTCCAACGACTCTTATTGATATATCAGCAACTGCTGGAATACCAGATTTACGACTTCTGGGCTCTGGAAAGTGCCAGCAGAAGGTCTGGGAGCTTTGGGAGAAAAATTACCTTAAAGGGAAACATTGGCACAGTGGGTAAAATATACTCTTATTGGCAGCAGAGGAAATGAGAGCAGACAGGGCTGCTCCTGTGGTGTGAGTGCCTTTCGTGTCATTAATATTTTCCTCCTCTTGTGCTGGTCCTCTCTGAACTGCTGAATGGCAGAAGGGAAGGCAGCTAAAGTCACCTCCACTGATTCACTGGGGTATTCTCCAAATAAATCCTGACTTCCAACATTTTTAAAGGATTCATGGAGGAAGGAGCTGTCCTGAAGCAATGATTTTTATGAATCCAGGAGCCCAAAAAAGGATGATGACCAAGTGGGACAGCAGTGCATTTTCTGAGGGGATTGGGCAACAGGACCATCAGAATCATTCTCACAGCTGAGATTTGGATTTTATAGCAAACAAATACATACTGGTATGTATGGGTTGTTGTTAACAGTATTTATATGTAGTCCCCCACCTCTCCCAGGATGTTTTGGGGAAGTAGTGAAGCTGTCTTTAAGACAGCAAAGCCCAAAGCCAAACCTTTGCTTTGAGGACTCTCAGCCAGAAGCGCAGCCCCCCTGCTTGTAACGGGGCTTCCCTCAGCTCCACAGCCCCTTTCCCTGCAGCTGAGAGGTCCCATTTCTGCTGGTGCCAGGAGGTCCCAAAGGCTGCGGGTGCAAGAGGAGCTGGTTCCCCGGGGAAGGCTGTGCAGGCAGCGAGGAGGGGTCATGGCAGCCTACCCTGCACAGCTCTTCCTGGCAGCACGGGCAGGCAACTTCAATAACACTTTGCAATAATGCCAGCAGCCAGATTTAATATCCTCAGAGATGTTAACTCCAGAAGAGTGCTATTTTAGGTACTAATATATTTATTCTTTTTTAATATTTTGTGTAGTACAGATTGATGCCTGAATACAGGAGCATCTGCAGAGGTCCCTGGGGGAAATATTTGACAGCATGTGCTCACCTGTGCAAGGGGAGAGATACCCATCCTTCTGCCCTGGGCAGTGTTGAAGGGTTTGTAGCTCTATGAGCTGCGTATAGTGAATTTTAGGGCTGATACAGAGAGGTGAACTCACAGCTCTCTCTGCTACCCCACGATCGTCACTTTGTACCTCTGCACCCACGTCCCTCCTGCGCCCAGCAACACTGTGAGGTTGGGTGTTATGAGTAACACGGCGCAGGGTGAAGTGGTTTATTCAGTAGCAGAATGGGGAACTCATATTGTGAATATACGCTTATAATATAAAGAGATAGTTGGGGGCTCCCTACAGTAGAGGCTGTAGGTTGCAGTGTTGCCTACTCTGTCCCACATGAGCCACTATTCTGCTTTCTACCAGGAGTTGTGACCCACTGTGTAAAATGGCTTCTGAGCTGCCTGGAGAGCTGGTATCTGCCTTGGTCAGACAGAGAAGTGCTGTAGGGGCAATCCCTCAAATAAAAGACAGTTTTCCTGTTACCTTCCTCCTCAGCCCCATCATTTCTGTTCTGAGATAAGGCCATTACAAAAGCCCAGGAGTTGGAAGAACACCTTTCTCATTTTACCCAGAGCAGCTGGCAGTCAAATTACCTTTTACACTGGTATAAGCAGGAGAGGTGTTTGCATAATTGCATGGAAAAGTGAAAGCAACCTGCCAGTTTGGGAAGTTGTGTCTGGCAAAATGAGTCTCCTTCAGCTCTTGTGGAAACTATGGAGCAGTAAGATTAGGACCAGGATTTGGGTGGGGGGAAGAAGGAGGAATAAAAAGCAACCTTGAAAGGGGGCAACAGTCTCCCTGAGGAAGGGGAGCGACCCTTGTGTATTAAGCCTTGGGGTCAGAGGAGTAGTAATGCAGTTCTGGGCAGTGTGCTGATAGGGATGAGTGCTGACTGGACGATGAGCAAATAAGGCTGGTTCTTTGTGTTATTGCTACTTGATGTGGTCAGTATTTATCTGGTGTTTTCCTCATAGAACCTGGAGCTCCCTCAGAGGCTCTGCTGCACTTGAAATGCGGCTTGGAGGAAGCCAGCCCCTCTCTCCACTTCACTCAAACGTGGATGCTCTTACGGTGCAGCCTGGACCCCTCCACATGCAGCAGAGCAGGAACCAGCCTCATGCCCAGCCCTTAGCCTGTCACTCCTGCATGGGAGACAGCAACCTTCAGGAGGAGGGGGCTTGCTGAGTCCTGGCGTGGGGGTTAGCAGGAGCAGAGCCCTGTTCCCACACCACAGGGCTCTTGGCTTTGCAGCAGGGGGCTTTGAGCATTAAAGAAGTGGTGCAGTCTCCATGGTCCCAGTCAGGTTTAGGAGAGAAGCACTGGTGGTGTGTGCATCTGCTTCAGGTGCTGGCACCGCTGGAGAGTGTATGGTGGAGTTATAAATCATCTGTAAAAAGTAAAAGCACATCATGTTTGAGAGGAACAGTGAACAGCTGTGGGGGAACTGCAGGTAGGGCTCCTTTTGGAGAGGGAGAATGTGATCGGCGAGTCAGCATTTGTTCATGTTTTATTTGGATCCATCTGGCACCCTCTTTGGTAAGTGTTATGAACATTGTGAGTAACTGTCTCTCTCCTCCCCTCAATCTTTTCTGCAGTGGTTTCTAGCGACAGTGAGAGTGACTCGGAGTTCAGTTCCTCCAGCCTGGATGACAAGCCCTTATCCCCGGGGTCAAAAGGCTCACAAGGCAGAAAGCACCGAGCAGGACTGGGTGAGGAGTTGCTGTTCCTTGTGGCTGGAGGGTGGGGAGTGTAAAGTGCTTGAATGTTTGACTCTTGGTACTGTGGGTTCTGGCTCAGCCTGCCCGATGCTGGTGCAGCCCACTGGCTGTAGCTGTGCCAGGCGAGGGTCTGATCCTTTCTCACTGGAATAGTATCGGTGGGTCACTCCACTGCCTGCAGCCTTTCGGGGTCTGCCCTTGCAGTTGGGAGCTGCTCCTGGCCGCCTGGCAGCATGTCTTCATCCAGCTCCTCACTCCTGACTTTGTGGTGCTGGAATTGCTGGTGCCATTTTAGGAGCAGAGCAAGGAACTGGGTTTTGACCCTGCTCCTGAGGGTGCCCGGCTGGGAGCGGGGAGGCTGCTGCTCTTCTAAGACCTGGCCCAGCATCTGCACCCACTTCTCCCTCCCACAGCAGCATCTCTCTATTGTATCCCTGCAGCACCCATCGGGGAACCCAGCCAGGCCACGAGCAGGGTGCTGGGGAGCACCCACTCCCCTACCCTCTCGGGGAGCCGCAGCAGCCTGGGCAGCGAGCCGGGGGCTGCCCTCAGCGCCACGGAGAGCTGCCAGAGTGACCAGCCGGCGGACGGGCGTGACAGTGATGCAGGCAGCAGAGTCCCTGGTAAACTGAACCTCCTCTCGGGGCAGATCCATGCTTTTGGGGCTGACTGGAAGCACAGCTTTCTCAGAGGCACACCTGGCAAAGCTGTGGCCCAGGATTACCGTTCCTTGCTTTTTTCCTCACGGCAGATGCTGTCACAGCATTACAGCTTGCTCCTTTCCTCTTCCATGCAGAATCTATTCTGCAACATGAGTAATTGTCTGGGGTGGGAGCTGCCTACACCCACCTCCAAGAGCAGCCGTAGCTTGGGTCTGCCCCTCTGCAAAGGCCCGGGGCCTCCTGTCTGCCCTGCAGAGGCAGCAGAACAGATTGAGCTTTTACTGAAGCAAAGCAGAAGTCCAGCAGCTTTATGAGACTGAATAAAAATTTTCCTGATGTTAGATGGCTCTTAAAGCCAAGCATGGCTCTTCCCAGAACTCTGCAGTGGGGAAAAAAAAAAAAAAAAAAAAGAAAAAAAAAAAAAAAGACGCTTTTTCCCTCTCAACAACCTTGGAACAATTAAGTGACTGAGAGCAGAGGCTGCTATCGCATCTGATCTGGAGCAGCTGAAAGAGATGCAAATGTGTTCTCTCTGCAGTTCCCGCTAATCTATTCAATAACCCCTTAAGTTATCATTTAGTGCCGCTCCCTCCTGAGCATTCCTGCCACCCTGTGAACTGCCACTCCTTTTGTTCCTGAGCTTGTTCTGTGCTGTGCATGTTGAGGCATAAATTGGATTAGAGAGCTCAGGTTTATCCTTTAGTGTAACATGGAGTCATAGTCCCCCTCCCCACACTTCCCACTAGAAATAGCCGGCGTAAAACTGTTTCTCTGCTCTTACCTCTCTCCCCAAGTTTCAGAGATTTGCAGTTTTCTTGAATTTCAGTTTTTGCAAAGCAAATCAGATGAGTGCTACATCGGCTCTGTCTGTCCTCTCTCTGGATTATAGTACTGCCCCAGCCTGGGCGGTTTATTTTAAGCCCCCGTTGGCTGTGGCGTTAGAGACGGTTGATCCCTGTTGTGTGTGGGCTCTGCTGCCTGCCAGAGTGGAGCAGCAGGTTGTCCTGCGGCATCGAAGCGGGTGGTGGTGGTGGTGGATACCAGGTGTGGCCCCTTGGGTGCTGCTTCTGCTGGTGCTGCGTGGCCATGCTGAAATCTGGATGGATGCACACCTGGACAGACGGCGTGTTTGTACAGCACTTAGAATTTTGGAGCTTGCCTGCCAGCTGTTTGAACTAACTGCTGCCTGGTCGTTACTCTGCAAACAAGATCTCGAGGCAAAGAATGCCTTTTTCCTGCTAAAAACCCTCTGTGAAAAGCTTGGCTCAAGGGGTCAGCGCTTTCAAGTGCGATCTCTCCTTGCTAGGCAGGGGAGAGCTATAAACGACAGGCAGCGTGGACGTATGTTTAAAAAACCCCAAACTGTAGCAATCTCATGAGCCCAGTTAAAATAGTCCCTGAGATGCAGAGAGGATCCTGCTAAGGAGGTTAAGCCGGGTTGCCTGACTAGAGAGTATCTGTAAAGATCTTTATTATGTCTGGGGTCATTTGGTTCCCAGTCTTTCTGCAGCAGGGGCTGTTTTCAGACGTGGTGCTTGCAGCAGCAGGTGCCTTGGTGGAAGGGCTCCGCGGCCAGGGGAGGGAGGCAGGGGGGTGGCAGCGAGTGTTTCTGCTGGCAGGGGAATGAAGCTGATGGTGGGCACAGCCTTGGGAACTGGTGGAGGGTGGCAGCGGGCAGAATTCTTGTGTTGTGTCATCTCAGGGAACCAGCCACCATCCTCCTGAGCTGCTATGGGCTCACAGGGAGTTAGGTGACGCTATGGCTGTGGCTCTGCGGCCGCAGGAGGTGGCTGGACGGGCTACAGAGAGGCTGGCCTGTCTTTGAGCCTACGCCTTTCCACAATGTGGGTGCTGGCCAGGGCTAGTGTGGCGGTGTTGGAGACTACCAAAGGTCTCTGCAAAGAGGCAGAGCTGGAACCTGAGCACGTTGTGGGCGGCACGTGATGTGACCACGTTGTGTTTGCCCTGGGTGTATGCTCTGTCCCACAGTGTGGGTGATCTTCAGCACTTCAAGGTGGGCTGGAGAGAGGGAAGTTGTTTTCCTTCCAGTGTGTTTGGGATGTGGGCTTGCCTCCGTGCAGCGAGGGAGCAGCAGGGGTACGCGCAGTTGGCGTTCGTTTATTCTGAGAGCACTTAAAGTGCCCAGCTGGAGAGATGCTGTCCCGACGTGATCTGTGCAGTGAACTATTGGCGATCACGATCCATTACATATGTATTTAGTAATCAGCATTACACAGCCATACGACTCGTGTGGTCTCGTGTTCTGTGCAGCTCTGTAGCAAGTGCTTTGAGCCCATCAGACATCCAGCAGGCTCCAATACTGAATGCCCCCGTGCTTTGCCAGCAGCCTGATAAGAGCAGAAAATAAAGAGCAAAACCAGTGCTTCAGTCCCCTAGGAAGTGTCCTGCTCTGCAGAGGGGTTCACATGCTCTGAGATGCTGGAGGTCTGGGGTATGCAAATGCTGGGAGCCTCGGGGTAGCTGGCAGTGCCTCTTCCCATCTTTAGATCAGAGTTCTGTCTCTCTGTGAGGAGCTTTTCGTGATGGGTCCCTCTGGATGCCACTGTTAGCCAAAAAGCAGAGGCTGTTCTTGCTGCTAATCTTTTTGAAGAGTGGTGGAGGCGATGGGTGCTGTATGTCAAGACTGCCAAAACTCTTTACTGCATCTCCCTGCCTGTGGGACAGTCCCTGTGCTCTGCTCTGACCCAAAAAACAGAGCAAGGGGCAAAGATTCTGTCTAACCTGCTGATCCTCAGCTGCAGAATGGGGGCATTAAAGGGAGATTTTGCTATAGCTTTTCTGAAAGGCTCTGCAACTTTATAACACTATGTTGGGAGCAATTTTGGCTTCATATTAACACCTCAAGTGTTCTACCGGTGACTTTCTTTTCACTTCTTTTTCTCACCTCTGCTCTAATTCTGCTCTCAAGTGTGACTTTGCAGAACACTTTAGCATCCTTAAATCCCAAGCCACAATCAGAACAGGGAATTAGGGAGTGGTACTGCAAATGCACCTGCTCTCATAGTCCTCGGCTCTTTAAGCCTGAAGGCCAAGACAACAGCATGGTCGTGTGGCCGAGGGAAAACAAGGAGCTATTAAGAAGAATTTGTACGTTTCCAGTGTGTTGCTTTGGCTCCGGCTGGGGTTTGGTGAGGCAGATAATGAAGCCTGGGGTTTGTCATAAAATGACTCATTGTCAGAGCTGCATTGGGATTTAGGCAACCTCAGCCCATGAGCCAAAGTTGCAGAAGAGAGTGGTGAGTTGAGAGGCTGTCAATTTTTTATTTTTTTTTTTTTACCAACTGCTTTGAAACCCCTTTCAAAACCATCATTTTCTGAGGTTCTGGTGTTTCTTCTTCTGAAACTCTGGTTCCTGGAGATGCCCACTCTGACATGATAGCTGTTAAGAGGAAGGTCATGCTCTGGTTTTCCTGAACAGTTTTTTTTTTATTCTGAAGAGAATAAAATTTGCACACAAGAAAGAAGCACAGTCTTTCTTTTTCCCATTACTTGCCCCCAGCTAGGGAGGTGACTCACCTCGTTCTGGCTGTACAGTTAAGAGTTGCATCGGTTAAAAAGAACAAAATCCTTGCTATTGTTAATGATGAAGAAAAATAATATTAAACAGAATTAAAGAAATCATCAATATCCTACAGTGATTTTCATTAGCCCATGGAGAGCTTTTTCTTTGTGCTTGGACCCGGCTGCTGCGGGGAGTAAATTAAGAGCAAAAGGCACCTCCTCAGATCAGTAGCAAGTTCTACTTTGATGCGTCCCAGTTAATGGGTCCTCAGTGTCTTCTGAGAACCTTGTCTCAGGAACGGGTCAATCCTTTTTGGTGTTCTGTGGTTCACCTGAAGAGCTTGCTGGTAGGGAACGTGAGTGAGCTTGGCATGGGCTCTGGAGCTGGAGAAGGCTCTAATTTGTGCTTAAAAGAGGAGGTCTGAGAAACAGCCACGTGATAAGCTAGCGAGTGAGACATCTGAGCACAAATCACAGTGTCCCCATCTCTGCTTGTTTTCCAGTGTGTTGTCTAAATCATTAATATTTGAACAGTGGTACAGCAGCTGGCAGTTAAACAGAGCCGTGTTAGTGGTGTTGCTGAGTCTGGGAGATGATGATGATGATGGTGGGGTATAAGAAATGTGCTTTGCAGTCCCAGGGTGAGACTGGCTGGCAGGACCTCCAGAGGTCAGCAAGTCCAGCCTGGACCCTTCTCCCAGCATGCTGAAGCTGCAGCTTCTGGGTACACCTCCCCTTGGCTGCTTGCTTTGTAGCTGGGAGAGCCTGAGGGGAGGTGAGAAAAGGGTCTGGAGCTGAGAGAGATGGGCAGGAAATGCTGCTTCCAGCTCTCTTAATCAGCGGAGACTTATGCCCTGTCTTTCAGGAATTGACTGGATTTAGAAATGAGGTGGTGTCAGTCTCTCTGGCTCAGTGCCTCCCCGGCTAGGGTAGGCATCAACTTTTGCTCATAAATATGCAAGCTGTTAATATACGAGACAGGCAGATCCATTCTGCATTATTTTTGAGGCAGGAAATTCTCAGGGCATCTTTGAATTTAAAGCATTAACTTATTTTTTTCCTTCCCTTCCATCTCTCAGATGTCTGTTTTGCTCCCTCAGGGACGATGAGGAGGTAACATTTTGCTTCAGTGGGCCTAACTACTCCATTCCATGTAGGAAAAAAAAAACCTGTCCTAACAGTAATTAGGCTCCAAATGGCATAGTAATTTCTTTAATGACTTTCTTCATAGCAGTCTTTGGGGAGGTGACTTCTGTTTTCCTGCGCTCGGTGAGGAAAGTTGCTTAAATGTTTTCTGACTGCTCCTTCCCTCACCCATGTGAGCTGCATCCAAACAGTGTAGTCTTCCAGGGGTGGCTTTGCAGTAGGGTGGAATAGGTGGGTGACTGTGCAAAGGAGCTGTGCTTGCAATCCCTGCTCCTCCTCCCTCTGCCTTCGGGCTCTGCCTGCATTGAGGGCACGGGGTAGGAAGGAAAGGGGGGGGTCAGATGTGGAGGAGAGACCCTCACCCACACCCAGTCTCTCCCCTCCAAGCCTCTGCCTCCTGCACTGGCTGCCTCATCAACCTTTGGACACTGCTGTTTGCCTCCATTTGCTCAAAGCTTCCTGCCATGGGAATGCGTATTCCCACTGCCAAGGAGGATGAGTTGTCCCTCTTCCACAAAGTGAAAAAAATGAATTGTGCCTTCATGGCTGAGCAGCTTCGAGCTGTCTCTGCCTTCCTGGTAGTGCAGAGCATCGAATGGTCCTGCTGTATTTATAAATAAAACATGTCTTCGGGTAGTGACAGCGTTAGGAAATGATTCAAGGTTTGCATTCTCGATACAATGCAGTTGTACATATGAACCTCAGAAGAAGCATATGCCCCCTTCCATGTTTTAAGGAATTAAAATATTTTCGTCCTCAAGTGGTCAAACCAAAACAGTTTCAGCTTTTTTAAGTCCGCCTTGAAGTTAAGTGAATAAAAGCTCGAGTACCTAAAAAATAAATTACTTTCACTATTTCTGTAATTCTTTATGGAGTTTTAAATTGAAAGCTTTTTCCTTGAAAACAGAGGAGTGACAAAGACTCATTCTCTTGCCTCTTTCACTCAATATATCTGGAAACAAGTTTGCTGCTGAAGATGAAACTCCTATTTTTGTGCCTTCTTTCACACTGCGGAGGTCTGTGCTTTGGTCTTTGATCAGACAGCCTGTCTGGCCTCCTGCCTTGTGGCCTTAGACTTGTTCTCTGCCCTTTGCGATACATTTACTCCTTGTGCTTCCAACCTTCTATTCAGCATTTTGCACAAAGCATAAAGGAAAGAGTTTGGGAAGTCAGTAATACAGAATTTAAAAGTCTGGATTTGGGAGTCTTTGTAAACAAATTGAGAGGGTTTATGGCTCGGGAGGTTGTCTTTCAACTGGGACCGGCCAGTAGCTGATGGGAGGAATTTGGAGGACTCCCCGTGCCTTGAACGTTTCACATGAGTGCAGTGACTGGAACCAGCCCCTGTTCTTTCTCCAGGAGTCACCTTCAGCTCAGAGAAGGGGGAGAGAAGTTAGTACTGGCCCACTGCTGCCCTAGAGCACTCCCCGTTGCCAGCCCCGTGCTCAGAGCCTGAGTTTCACCAGGGGCTGCTGAAAAGATTGTCTCAGGTTTGTTTAGTTGCCGTGAGCCAGAGCACCTTCTGCAGCAGAGCATTGCTGATTTGTGCCCATCCCCAGCCACGGGCAAGGATGACCTTCAGCTGTGGCTCCTGGCCGTGGCCCAGGCGCACGGAGGGTCACGTGGAGGACCTGCTCGGTGCCACGTGGATGCTGTCACCTGGTTTGGAAACCCCTGAGAGCTGAGGCTTGGCTTTTTGTCTGACTTAGCCCTCTGAGGAAAGTATGTACCAGGGGACCACTTCTAGAAGTACAACTCTTTCTTTCTCCTTCTTTCCCCATTTTTTTTTCCCCTGTCTTTTCTTTCTTTAATAAAGTTTAATGGGCCCTGACTGCTGACAGACTGTGGAGTAATGATGCATAGGCGTTCTCTTCATTATTTTTTTAGGAAGCTCTTAAAATGGCACCGAGCATGTAAAAGCAACATAAAATAACTTTGTCAAGTCTCTCCCCTTCACTGCTTTCCAAATAAAACTTTTTGTCTTTATGTATTTTGAAGGCAAACGGTACGTCCGCACCAGAAGGCGATGCTGACAGATGAAGATGGAGGTGCTCTGCCCGGATCTAGCACTCGCCCCTTGCCCACTCCTGCAGACCTCAGTCTAGACGACGGCTGCTGCCAATGGTGACTTTATGATGCCGGGTCTTGCACAGGCATTAGCAGCAACATGATGGCACCCAGGAAAGCACCTGCCTGTCCTCCCTGCCTCCCTGACCTGGTTTATGGTTTGGTCTGGTTTCCCCTTCTGCTGACTGACGTGCATTTGGGGTGCTGCTCGGAGAGGGGTGCCGTGCTGTGTGGTGCTGCTGTGGGGTCCAGACCTGTGAGTGTTGGAAAGGGCACATGGAGTGCTCTCTGAAGCTGAAGAAATGTGTGCTGCCTCTGTTGTTCCTGACTTGTCAAGCCTAGCCTTGGGTTCAGCTCCTGGCCTCTCAGTCCTGGCTTTGCAGTTTTCAGAAGAAAAGGAAATTCACCCCTATATCCTTGAAATAGGGTGTGAGGAGACTGCAGCCCTTCTACTGCTTCTCAGCCCAGGGGTGTGTTTCTCTCTGTGAATCCCAAGCGTGAGACCAGGGCTCCGGTTTGCACTTGACTTCCATGGGCTCAGGGTGTCACCCTTTGTGTTTCTTGTCATCATTGTTCTGGTTTGAGTTGGTGTGAGTTTGGTGGGGGCATCCTGAACCAGATGGTGAAGTTGTGCTCCCATTCATTTCTACTGAGGTCTCTCGTGATAGGGAAGACACTTCAGTTAGTAAAGAAACGCTCGAAGAGGTGTACTATGAATTTTCTGGTCCTCCTGTGCACCGGTTTGTGTGTCCTGTGGTGAGGGTGATGCTTTTGCAGTGGGGCTGTGGGCAGTGTGTGTGTGCTGCAGCTCCTGGTGGGAGAACACTCACCACCCTGCAGCCCATCTGGCTGCCTTCGGGTACCCAAATTGGATAAAAGCTTTCAGATTACTTTAACTAGTTGAGTTCTGCAGATTCTCCTCCCACGTGCACACCTTGTCATCTCTTGCATGAGGAGGGGGCCTTTGTTTTACCTTTTTCCTGCAAGTCTTGAACATCTAGCTTCCTGATGGTATCCTCACGAGTCAGGCTGTAGAAAGCTGTGTGCCCTGGTCCTGCTTATTCTCTGGGATGGACAATTTCCCTCCAAGGCCTGACAGATGAGGAAAATCAAATTACCTAGTATCTCTAGAGCAATTAGATCTTTGAAGGCCTGAACAAAACCCACACTAGGCAAGTAGGAGTCAGCGAGTTTTATTAAATGCTTTGGATCTAACCCATCTTTTGCTGAAGAAACAAACGATTCCGAAAAGCTCCCTCTGAAGTCATGGGTTTAAAGGCAATTTGTGCCTGTTAATGTCAGCCTTTTGCCTTGGTTATTACTCTTTTGTTCCGTTCTCCTTTGCTGCTGAGCTTTGTGTGCGTGTAGTATATGCTCTTACAAATGGCTGCAGTATGAAGATAAATGAGGTTGGGTGCTGGAACACTCTTAACAGGAGATCGGAAATCAATCCTTGACTTACTTTCTAAATGAACATGGTCCAACAGAGGACCATTCCCTTACTGCTTTTCCAGCTAACGCTCTATGGCACATGGCTGGGAAAATCCTTCCAGCTCTTCCTCTGTGATCTGTTTCTGCCCTTTTAAAAATGAAAACACAACCTTTGGATGATGTGGGCTCTTCGAGGCGGCATAAAGAGAAACCACTGAACGTGGGCTTTACACCATCAGTGTTGAAGAGAACAAGGGATGAGGTGGCTCTCTGCTGAGGGATGCTTTATGTCATGGTATGTGTTTTTTAAACCTGGCCATTGGCTTGACCAGATGCATCTCTGAAAGGGGCAATACCAGAATTATTAGGCATTTCTGAAAGGGTAAATTCAAAAATCAGCTTTTGCTGTGATTTCGGAGCTGGAGTCATGCTGTTTCTTCTGAGAGCTATAGGATCTTCAATTTCACAAGTGTTTTGCCCCCAGAAAAGTCCTGTCTTGCCTTGGAGCTTTTAACAATCCTACCAAGGCTGTCTTGCTCATGTTGTCATTCCTGCAGCACCTCAGACAGCCTGGCCTGCCAGCCTAAGTTAATTCTCTAGAAGAAGAAGGAAAAAGACACGTAAAAATTGACTCAATTTTCTTTAAACCTGTTACTTTCTCATCAAAAACTCTACAATGAGTTCGAAAGAGTTTTTAAAATCGAGTATCATTTTTAACTCTTCCTGGGTTTCTTGTGCTTCATTCCCGGGCGGTGCAGGCAGGTCAGGCATATTTTCACCCACACTCTCACTTCCCACAGCTGCTTATCACACTGTGGGCTGCCTGCTCTGCACAGCAACCTGGCAATCCTTGCTGGCTTACTGTGCCACTCTGAGACATCAGTTTGATTTTTAATTGAGACTGGATTTTATAAAATACCCTCAGAGATAAGTTTGGGACTGCTCTTCTACCGGTGAGACTGGAAGCCTTTCTTTCTTACCTGTATATTTTGCCTCCATGGATTAATTCCACCTGAGTTTGAACCAGAACTGTTCAGTCATCTATGGAAACCCTCTTGGGTTGACGGAAGGATCTAGCCCAGGAGAATGTGATGTAGCTACGTTTGAATGTGATAGAGGAGCGTCTGCAGCTCTGTGCACATATTTTCTATTAAAGACCACTTTTCCCTTTGTTGTGTCTTTTGTGGTTGTGTTTTTTAGCTTTCCTTGGAATATTATCCTAAAGCTGTACCAGTTGACTTCCTTTTGAGGTGACTCAAGGTGAGCAAGAAGGGCTCAGTGAATAGTGCTCAGTCTGCTCTGGTTGTTTGTGTTTCTTACGTTATTTGGTTGTTCTTGTCTTCTTACAACTTTTATGTAGTTTTTTACTACTGGAAACAATAAAGCTTTGGCTCAGTAACAACTACTTGCCATTCTTGAAACAGTAAAAAGTCTTTTTTTTTTCAATTCCCAGGTTGCGGATACTCTCCAAATCCTTGGGCTGGCTCCAGCGAGAAAAGAAAGTAATCCAGCCAGTGGTGTGGTGATTCACACGGCTGAAGCGTAATTGAATTTTGCACTTGAAAGTTGTCTTTTGTCTTGGCCCGCTTTGGTACCTTGTGCTGACAATGGCAGGGGGCACAGGTCTGCTCCTCAGCCCCTGCGTGGAAGGTTTTCCATGTTGTAACCACTAAGCATAAAGCAGCACTGATTGTCATTCTGTCAAGGACTGTCCCCACAGCCTCCCAAGGCTCACCGCTCGCTCCGCTTTGACGGTCGGGGCCTTATTTAGCTTTGCCTGTGGAGAAGCGTCTCCGCATTGTTTGCCGAGCATGTGCAGCCCTGGCTGCTCTACGTTGCCTTCTACTCTGCATTCAGCTTCAAGGTTTCAAATGGCTTTTTAATCTGTTACTGCTTTTCCCATTTTAGAAGCACCTTATAATTGCTGTTGGGATTGTTTTGCTGGGGAGCTGCCATTAGTCCAAGGATGGAGCGTGTCAAGGACTAACCACCTCATACGTTGTTCCTTCCCCCCTCCGCTTGCCATGACAACAACCAATATATGGGAAAGTCAGTTGTGGGATCTCTCTGAGTCAAAAAACACTGGCTGTGAATTGCCAGGTTTCCATGTTTGCTTTTTACAGCTGTAGTTTGAGGGGAGAGGGGATGCTTTCTCTGTGGGAGCTGTGCCTAGTGGTTTGACGTAGCTGAAGCAAATGGGCTACCAGCTGGTGTTTAGACAACGTGTTTCTGGCCATTACTGAATCGAACAGCAAAGGCCCTGGACTATCAGCCAGAGTGCTTGGACAGTGACACAAAATGGCAGATGGCTGAAGTTAATTTGTAAAATAAAACTTAGCAGCAATCGCTCTTCTCTCCTCCCTGCCCCTCCCAGAAGATGTTTTCTTCCAGGGGAGAGGGCTGGTGGCAGTGACATCCCAGCCCTCCTCTCCCATTTCTTCCTGCCATCTCTTTGTCCTCTCCGTGCTGGGGACTGCTCTTCTGGCCAGAGTGCCTTGTTTCTGCAGGTGAGTGTGACTGATGGAGAATTCGGGGAAGTTTTCGTGAAGGACTGTTGCTGTAATCAAATAATGAGACTTACAGCAGGCACACGATGACAGGTGATGGGTAAGCATCCTGTGGAAAGCTTTAATCTTGAGCTGCTCATTCACATTCCCTCCTGACCTTTGCCTCTTATTAGCAGTACATTCAGGTAGCGCTAGAAACGCCTGCGATGCTCAAGAGGCACGAGAGGAGGATCCCGCCGTGTAGCTCCATCCCATGCAGGCAGGAACACGGTGTGTGCTGCCTGCCAGTGGCACGTGGCAGCGCACGCGGGCAGCCACGCACCGCCTCGTACACCCCTGCCCTGCGCCTCTCTCCCTGCAGAAATATTGCCTGTCATTCTCTTCATAGCAAAACGTGAAAGGAGCCAGGCCGGCAGCAGCACGTTACACCAGCCGTGGGGTAGCGCTGCTGAGCGGTGCCTGGAGATGCCCACCCAGCACCCAAGGGTGCTGCTCTGATCAGTGCCTGGGAGCTGCACCTTTGAGGGACAAATTCACACCCCCTCGAGGGCTGTACACATTCACCTTCGTGCTTCGTAGGGGTTCTGTGGGTTCATTTGGAGGCATCTGTTGCGTTTCTTTTTCCTTCCACTGATTTCTGTCTGGCACTGGAAGCTGTTTGTAAAATTTTGGAGGGGTTACTGCTTTTTTTTTTTCTTTTTGTCTCTGGAATGAGTGGCTCTGCTTGATGTATTCAGATTTTGCCGGGAAGGATGGATTATGGTTTTAAAGTATTTTTGTTGTGGACTGTATGAGTTTAACAGCAACTGTTACGTTCTAGACCCTCTCTCAGCCCCCAGCTATATGCCGTTTCCTCACAGATGCTTCCCTGTGACTTCGCAGTTGACCAAAGGCAGCAAACGGGCATCACCATCTCCCTTCCTCAACTCTCCTTCCAGCCTAATCACTGTAAGCAGTTATTATCTGGGGCTGGAGATTTGCTGCTAATCAGAGCCATCTGGGCAAGGGGCGCTGGCAGAGACATCTTCCCCCTTCTGAGTGTGACTGACTTCTGCTGTGGTAGCTCTGACTAATTACCACAGGGCTATGGGCACTTTTAATTATTTGCAATTCCACACCTCCCCTCCAGCTGTCCTGTCCGATCCTATTGGAGCAACCCTTTATATGTGGGAGCTGCCCTGGAGCAGCTACCTTCTGGGCTTGGTTTTGGGGCTGGATTTGTGAGCTGAGTGGAGAGATCACATCTCTGAAACTGGTCCTTGCTTTGCAAGGCTGTGCTGCTTTGTAGTGACAACCCTGCACGGTGTCCCCGGCTCAGCTGCTGGCTCTGCCCTGAATATTTCTGAGTCTCATTCATTCCCTAAAGACCCCACAGACTCATATGTACCCAGCTCCTGGACGGGGACAGCAGCTGAACTGCTGAGGGGTGCTGAGCCTAGCATTATGTATTTTTCTACTGGTGAAGCCAAGCTCAAGAGACCAAGAAAATCTCAGTGAACAGCTGAGCCCCGCTGCAGGAGAGCAGGGGGCAGGATCTGGGCCCCGGGTGAGCAGTTGTCAAGCCACCGATGGGACAGACCTTCATCTTCAAATGACACTCATGCAGAGTTAAACTCCTTCAAGCAATCACACCATGGCCATTAAAATGGTGCCTTAGAGGACAGAAGAATAAACTGAGAAACGCAAATTAGGGATATAAATCTTTCTGGCTATGTCTGGGAGGTACCTGTTTAATTAGCATCATTGAGCAGCCTTGATGTAATAAGTGCTAAGTAGGAAACTTGCCAAATTTTCCCTGTTTTGAGAGTAGGTGACTTGTGTTCTGTTGGAATTTCCACCTTGTGATGGGTTTTCTGTACTCGCTGGAGTTGCTGTGTTGTCTTGTAGCATGAGGAATTTAGCTGTTGTCACCTGGGCTAATCAGATGCCACTTGCACGGGGGGAGCAGCTGCCCACACTGTCCTGCTTGAGTGTGGATGTCTTTGCATCTAGGGCCTAAGGGATTGCAAAGCTATTTCAACAAAGTATTGTGTGCTGGAGTTAATGTGTTTAATGATGTTTTTTGCTTCCTGTCCTCCTGGAGCACAAAGGTTACTTGCCACATGGAAGTTTTAAAAGAAGGGCTCGTCTCCCTACTGCATTGGAGGAAGACTAGGGAGGGAGGACAAGCTCTGTTCCCTGCAGAGGACCTGGCCACGTGGCTGGGATACAAACCCAGCCCCTCTCTGAGGGGTTGAACACAAGATCTGCTCCATGTCGTGTTGCAGTGAGCTGCTCACGCTGCTCTGCACTGCTTCCAGCGCTGCCTTGGCGAGCCAGGACCCACGGCACGAGGTGCTGAGCTGCCCAGAGCCACACGCGTTGGTCCTGTGTCAGGGATGATTGTCAGGGCGTGGAGGAGCCTTCTGTGCCTCCTCTTGCACAGCTCTGCTTTGGGGATTTATTCGTGGGATGAATATCTCTGCAAGGATTTGGGTTGGGGAGTTACTGAGCCTTTGTTTCTATATCACCCCTGTGTATTCCCACACTCTGATGCTAATTGGTACCACTGTAACATGAATCTTTTTAACACCGATAGTATTTGTGAGTTATTGGATGCTTGGCCTGGACCTGCCTGGGAATTGCAGGCAGAACGTCCAGAAGTGCTGCTGTCTCCCAGGCGTTGCCTCCCTGGGTTTGCATCCTGCCTGTATTCATTCTGGCAGCCTCTGTACCACGCTATTTAGCAGATCACTGTTACTGACCTGTCACTGTGGGAGACGGTGGGATTAGGATGATGGAGTGGTTGGAGAGGATAAACAATAATGATGCTACATCGGCGCAGCCCAAGCAATGCCTTTCTCTTTCATGTTTTCTTTTTCCGTTGGTTTGCCATTCAAGTGTAATAAGATCAGTGCAGATAATTTGTGTATTCATACAAAACATAATTTTCCCTCCTGTGCTTTACCAGCTGCACTGCAGTCGGAAAGGCAAATGCGCGCTTTCTTTTGCGTGGTTATGAATGGGTGCATCTGTTCCTCGAAGATAGGGAAAGGAGGGTGAAAGCACTGGAGAGGAAGGGAAGAAATCAGATGCAGTCCATTTCATTGCCTCTGTGGAGAGGGAAGCATACAGAAATCAGATTTTTGCAGCATGGGCTCGGTCCTACCCTGATGTATTTAGGAGAGGGGTAACACACCAGTGTGGGAAAGGCAGAGAAAGGGATTTTCACTGGGAGAACAGCCTGTGGAAGCACAACCGCCCTGCAGCAGGGCAGGGATGCCCAAGGGAGCTCAGCCCTACCTTGGTCAGGGTCTGCTAACGGCCGCGCAGGGACAGCCAGAGCCATGCAGGGGCTGGTCCTGCGCCTCCGCCCGGGGTTGGGCCACGAGGGCACAGCTGCCCGCTCCCTGCACTGGCTCTGCTCTTGCCGCGCTGCCTTGTTTCAGCTCCACGTGGGGCTTGTCTGGGAGTATCGGGGCAAAGGTAGGAGCTTAACTGGGCTGTGCTTGCTCTTCCCTAGCTGGAAGTCACAGACACCTTGCTCCCTGGGTTCTTGCCCTTCCTCTGCCAGGGGCTGCATCCCTGAACCTTCATCTCCGCATGCCCCAGGCTCTGCCTGACAGCCCTTGCTGGAGATCAACATCCCCTGTGAAGGCAGGAGGAGGCACAGGGCTAGAGGTTGTACAGCAGTAGACCTAATCTATTGGGCTTTCTTTCCTTCCTCCTTTCTCTTTTCTGAGAGAGGCCCACTAGAGAGGCAAGGGGAGGGAGGAAAAGGGGTTTAATTTTCTCCCGTTATCTGGTGTCTCCAGCTGTGAGCCATGCTGACAGCCTTGGGCTGATCAAACACTTGAGCAGCCTTGATGCAGCGTCCCATCTACGTGGTCATAAATAATGTAAGTGCTCTGCCCCTGCCTGAGCCCATATCCTGGCAGTAATGCACCAGCACGTTT